ACAACCACACAGACATAAATTTTTGTTACTACCTGTATCACAGTCAGTGTCACCAGGACACTACCACCAACACCGTAATAACCACCATGATATGAGTTCATCGAGTTAAAACTAGTGCCGTAAAGACACCAGCTGAAACTAAAATGGCAGCTAAGGGGTGTCGCACAAAATGCTTATTAAACAGGCCAAATGCCCATGTGGCTTTACTTTTGTAACGTCTTTGGAATTAAAGTATTTGTAGTTTTATATCTCAAGCCTATCGAAAATTTAAATCCGATATGCAGATATTAACTAGTAATCGGTATAAAAATGAAATATTCACATATCGGTTCTAGAGGAACTTGAATTTGAATATGAGACACAAAGTCGTAGCTTACATACTGCATGCATGTAAGCTGTGCCACTTGAATTATTAATTACCCTAGCTCGACACTTACGAAATTATAAAACTGTTGACTACAATAATGCTGATAGCCTAGCTTCTCAAAAATATATTTACGTAGATGTATTTAGGCTGTAAGAAGGGTGTGTTCCGAACAAATTGCGTTTGTGCTGATAAAAAATATATAAACTAACTTACCCATTTCAGGTACACACATAAGTCAGGTAACGAACTCGTGTAAAATATGAGACCAATAATTTCAAACAATTTGGTTTGCTTTTAAACAAACGTAATGTCGGATTTTTAAGTGTTATTATTTATTTATTTAAATTTAAAGAAGATAAATATTGAGGAATATCGTCCAAAGAAAGATACTACATACATACATATGTACGATTAGTTCTAAATTTATTTATGTCTTGAGAATAAAATGTGTAGTCTGCTTTTAATCCACTTGGTCAACATTGTGGACCAAGTTTTTATTTTCGCTGGTATATGTATGATAGAAAAAGCGCATAATCACCAGAGTCCAGATAAAAATATGTTCTTAGAAACCCCGAAATATTTATGTAAAATGTTTGATCAAACGACCAAAATACATATGTATATAGAAAATTTTTTTAATTCGCTTTAAATTGCTTCAAATTTAATTAATTTGACTACAGAAACGACAAAAAAGCTTACATTTCAAAGTGACAAGCGAGCAAGGAACATACATAACTTAAGCAAAAGCATTTGTTTATTTAAATTTGTTTATTTAAAATGCCACCAACAGGTATTTCCGATTTCGTTATAATTTGGATATATTAATTCGGGATGAACAATAACTTCTTTGTCGTGACATGATGAGCAAAATAGTCGCATAAACCACCTGGTATAGATACATTCAGAGGATGAGTACTGGTATTGATTTAGAATGATCTCCTACAAGTTTGTTAGTAGTTTCTTCATTAGTGGCAAATTTGTCTTTACCAGAATACTACTCAACGATCCTTTATTACGAACCGGATGCCATAAGCAAACCAGTTGACGTGCACGGGTGAAAGTTCTTTTGGATGATTTTGATCCACAGACGGACAGAAGAAAGCGGAAAATACGTATGCGTGGATTTCATAAATATGTATATTTCTTCGTGAAATAATAACAAATAACCTCATCCTTTAATTAAATAGGAGCACAAACTGTTAGCAGTGGTAGTGTGGTATGGATATCACTAAAAAACCCATACATATACCAAATTGCATTTATTTATATCATTTTTGAAATTTTGTTAAAGGCAGGAAAGTGACGACGAATACATATTTTAGTTACACATTTACATACACATTTGCATTTTTATACTTAAATTTATATTTGCTTATTGATATACCTACTTACATATCTTCTCAATTCATGTGAGCATTGAATTTTGGCAACTTGTTACATATCTACATACATACATAGATTATTCTGTAATAATATTTAAGTAATTAATTGCCCAGTATACATCTATAACTGAGGTATGAAACATTTTTTAATTAGCGCACATTCATGGCTGACACGTAACATGTAAAGTTCCCAAATTCAAATTTCCCGCCTGAAAAAAATTTCCTTACGTTTTAACCACCTCAGCTCCCCAAACGGGACTACCTCCCAATCCGAAGGAACTCAAAGGCACAGTCATCAAGGTTGTGTAACACTTGTTTCATGATAATATAATTATACATTAACTTAGTGGCTAATCCACTGTTGTCAATAAAATCCTGACAATTCCCCTTGAAAGCCCTCTAACGAAGAACAAGATGGATAACTTGTTAATCTTAAATCGAGACTGGTCCCCTATTTGTAATGGTTTACAAGATTTGGCAAACCTTGACAAGTACTTTTTATCTTCCTTATTCCATCCCAGCTTCTTCCAAGATTTTATGGTTTTGACGTTCTGAGCAGAGTAGTACCCACCAAACAGGAGAATACTTGACCATATTGTAAAGAACTCAACAATATATAAACCAATTAGCAATATCGTTTTTCCATGCATGTGTGACGAATGTTGTATTAGAATAGCAGATGGAAACATGATAAGTACATAAACCAACATGTGCAATGGCAATATCAATTTTCCATAATATTCCATTTCAAAACAATGCACAAGTTCGCAACACCTGTACTCATGGGTCAAATTGTCTGGTGACCGCAGGTCAGATTTTGTTCTATTTATTTTCAGCCCGGATCTTAAATCCTTGGACATTATCGGGATGGCGTAGAATACATGAGCAAGAATTCCTTGAAGGTGTATACTTAACAAGATGGATGATTGAGTAACCATTGTCCAGTATCCTACCAATATGAGTGCCAGGACAATGTGGTGGTTTCCTGGGACCAAAGATGAAACATACATTGGAGAACGTGGAACTGCGGCCACGTGTAAAGCTAGTGTGATGGGAATAATGATCATGAATAAGTTAATTGTCAATAGCATTATATCTAGCAAAGCTCCTGCTGCCCTTGTAAATGATTCTGATATTTCCCACTGTCCTGTTCAAATTTATTCATACAATAAATATTTTAAGTGTTCCAAATTATAAGTCGGCAACTTCAAGAGTAGGAATATTGAGAATATAAACAATCAAAATTGAAGACAACGACGCTTACCGTAATATGTTTTTATGTAGTTTAGCAGCATGGTTAAGAGGCTAGCTGTATCCTGGGCTCGACAAATAGTCACCATCATCAAGACAGATGTAAACATTACATAACCAAAGAACACGACGAGATTGCTGAGTTCTTCCATGGTGCATGAACTACATATACTGCACTTTACGATTTGTACTCCTAAAAATACTCCGTGCGAGAAGTATGCTGTCAATGTCAAGCGACACTTCCACCAAAGACACCGTGACGTAGAAATTTTAATTGTTTGATTGGCCGCAATCCAGATCTGCGTAGTTATCCCAAAGAAATTTCCAAGCCGGAAAGTTACGCCAAATAATAGAAAATAAATACCAGAAAACGGCTTCGTAGATGTGAACGTTTTGGTACGAAACAGTAATTTAACATAGGATCTATATTTTGACAAATTCATTTTGACTGTTACGCAAAAGTATCGAATTTTATGGAAAGCTAAATAATGTACATGCACATAAATGTGATGAACTTTTCAAAACTTCCTTGAATTTAAGTCGCAACTAGACAATAAATTCAAAATTACATTAAATCGGCCATGTGGGGTTTACAAAATAACTTGCCATGATTGTCCAGAATAAGATTTAGCGATATGAAAACTAAGATTCAAGTCAATCCGAAGATAATGATGACACCCTTCCACATTCACAATAATGTCCACCCAATCATTTTGTCGGTAAATTCATCGGCACTACATAAACGTTGAACAACAACCTATGATTTTAGACGAGGAAATACAATTTAATCCAATCAGGCCGCCTATATCGATTCCTTTGCTTCAAAAACAATCAAGTGCAGCTATTTTAAAGCATATTAAGCTATATTCGCGATATCCTTTTCACCAGTTCTTTCGGTATTATGAATTTTATTTTAACATCGCTACCTGAAGAGAGTATCATATTTACTTTAGACAGCCTGGAACAACAAAACGGTTGCGAAAATGTCATCCGTCATACCATGTTCAATACGTATTAAAAATAAATTAAGTTGTGCTAGATTTGTGTTAGATTTCACATTTTTTATTAATGCGTATGGATTATTGGTATTCTTTTCTTTGCAAAGCTAAATGCGTATATTCTTCCTAAAGTATAGACTTCTACATATATATATTGAAAGTACATATTTCTAGGCTTTTGTTGCTACCGTATTTCTGTGGGATACAATAACAAGTACTGTATCTTTATACGACAAGACGACGAATCAATATCTGTTGGATATTACAACTGCCTTCAAGCAATTTATCAGAAATATAATCTGTCGACTTACATATTTTGGTTACGAAATATTACACATTGAGACACTCCCTATTCTTCAACAGCCCGAATAGCATTTTTAGATTTTGCCCGCTAAGTAGGCTCTCAAACCACCGCCCCTTTACGGACTGCAGAAATTTTGCATGATCAATACACGGTAAAATTTATGGACGTATGTATGTACCTGCCTTCTCGATGTTTTTAGTATGTACTCGTATTAACCACGTACATATTTCTTAAGACCCAACTTATTCTAATCTTAATTAAATCAGTCAAATCGTTGAGTTTGAGTCAGCAACTGGATTCGGCTGCTCCCTTAAAGGCCAACTCACGGTTGCACGTCACACTAATCAACGTCAAACACCGGTCGATTTAAAGCTAAGGCTAACCTAGACACTGTGACCTCCATTTTTGCCTGAAAGGTCGCGAAGTCTTAAACTATCACTCACAAAATGTTAAATTTTAGTGCATATGTATGTACATACATACATATATATGTACATGACGGACATTTAATTTCCGAACACTCCAAAAAACTTCCCGTCCATGCACACCAGTTGCTTCAACGTTTTTGCTACTGTGGTTTCGGGATGGATTTTTGTGGACTATGTCCCCAAACCTCTTGTCTTCTCGTGTGAAAAAAATGGGTAGGTACACACACTTTGGAAGAGTGAGACGGCGTGTCACAAATGGATATGCTAAAATTGCTGGCAATACCGTCAAGTTCAGGGAGAACCGTTTTATTTCCATTGCCTTAAAATGACATCTCCCAAGATATTCATGTTTTACAATATATCTACAAATGCGGAAATACAAGTTTCCATAATTGAATTATCCGTATGAAATATAAACGCGTAAAATCGGACGGTCTGTCCCGTAAACATTTCGGTCGGTGTGATAGAATATTTTGCGGTGTAGACAAGTCCCGGGACAACGGATGAGTTCGGAATTTCTGCCGATAAATAGATAAAGCACGCGCCCCGGTGACAAATTTCGAGACGAAGAGACAACGAATCTGCGGCTTCACCTGATCCAAAAGATTAATTAAATACATAAGTTTTAAAAACGTTAAAATAATTACAATCTTAGAAATCCAGTCTTAAAATAATATCTAGCTGGCATTAATATTTAACGCTAAAAAAGTGGAATTGATAAGTAATTCAGTCAAAATCCGTGTTATCAGATTTTTTTTTGATCGGAATAATTTTAATATCAAGCGGTACCACCTTCAGCACAGAAATCAATGCCGGCCTGACTACAAATATTAGATTTCCAAGAGTGTTAATAATTAACTTATTTTGCATACTTGGCATGAAATCCTCTTCGCATTCGTACTCCTGTCCAGGCAGAAGTTGACAGTATCCTTCGCACCCAGAAATTCGTAACTGAATCGAATTACCGGCACCCCCACATGTTGAGACATTGGCTACCACACCCATTAACTCAACCGTATTGGCGGAATTACCTAATTCTGCGCGACCCAGAATTACAGTAAGTACCAAAAAGATTGGGACTGAAAAATAAGCGAGCCTCATTTTTAGATAAGTTGAAAATAAAACCAAGCCTGAAATAAGTATGTGAGCTTATCAGAAATTACTTGCAAACTTTTTGCACTCTGACTGAATCAAGTCACGATTGAGGTGAATGGTTTTATAACATTTATCATAAAAGATAACTGCAACGAACAAAGTGCAAATGAACAAAGTGCAAAGATATGCATGCATATGTATGTAACTGATCTTGTTTGAGATAACAACATTCCATGAATATGTGTCCATAAATATTTGCATGCATCATAAGAAATTCCATGTAGGATACATGCAATTTTCACATGAAGAGCTTTAGGAATTTTTTGGAACCAATTTAGTTAACATGTTTTATAAACATGTATATATCTCAATTTTGTTCTTCAGTAAACAATATTGCAAACCCTCGTAACGGGCGTAATTTATTCTAGGATACGAAGAAATAATGAATACCCTCAATATTTAGCAGTATAAAAATTTATTAGGATGAAAAATCATATCAAAATAATGGACTTGTATACTCAGAAGGTGGTAACTTAAGTTCACGTTCTAGGCGCAGACATTCCAACCGATCCTTGTGAATTTGCAATTCTAAAAGAGTTAGTTCAAGATTTTTTCGTTTTGTATGCTCCCCACGGAAATTACAGCCAAATTTTTCCACACGTGGTCCCTTTCTTTTCGTATTAGTCCGAAATAATGCAGAGCGTCCTGGTCGTCTGGATGGTATACTCTAAATAAAAACCCCGGTAATAAAATAATTACCATCTAATTATGTATATGTGACTCTACCGCCATGGTAAACATTTGCTATATTTATCTCGTGTATTCCCGTAGTAAAAAATTAGTTGAAATGTTGGTAATAAAAGCAACCGCGACGTGAAAATATATTTCCAGCGTGGTAATTACACAGTTAAAAATCCCGTAGTGCTTGGGGAGCCCATATGACTACACCGGTATGGTGTTGATGGTTATCAATGTATCACCAGCGGGTGACAATATTCACCATGTTATTTCGGTTTTCTTACCAAGCGGTGGGAATTTACCACCTGGTGGTGAAAATTTATGTATCCACAGGCCCTAAAAATGACGGTGTAGCCAATGGGCTCCCCGAGTTTCATAAAAAAATTTAAGCGTAATTTTTTTAATACACGATAGCAAATGTCGGTAGTCATAGATTCTCCGCCTGATAATGATTTGTTAAAATTTGGTTACCTCTACGACCTCCACTTCTGTGGCGTTTTCGTCTTCCCCATTTATGTCTGCCTCGTCAACTACACTGTCAGCACTGCCATGGACCTCTTCAATTTTTATTGGTAAATCTCCCTCTAAAATGTCCAGAATTAGAGTGTCGACTTCATTTAAAGGTTTCTCTCGACCTCCTCCTTTTCCCTTGCGCGTCATGTTTTCTCTTTTGGACTAAAAAAATAAAAAGTAAACTATCTCCGTAAATTGCGTAACCAATTAAGGTACCTATAATAGGTCATTCATAAACTATGTAAGAGGAAAACCAGACCAAGTGTTCCATAAAAGCATTTTCCATATTTCGCGAGAAAAAGTGTTAAACTCGGGTTCTGGTGGGTATCCACCACCATCGCGCGTCAGTGTCGTATCCGTCGCACTTTGTCGCGCTCATTCAATCATGCGTCTCATTTAATTAACTATGCTGGGTTATTTAAATGTTGGCTTATCAAAATAAAAAAAACTTAAATGTTGGTATATCATTGGTCCTCGTTTGTTACGGCACTTGCCGTATAAGCCACTCCCTCAGAAACTTTGACCCCAAAAATCTCACGGTCCCAGCGTTTCCCTTCGGGCAACAAAAGCTGAAAATGTAGCTCTTCCCAAGTAGAAAAATCTGGCCTTTGGTTGCCCGAAGGGAAACGCTGGGACCGTGAGATTTTTAAGGATTTATGTGTAGGTCATGAAACCGCCAATTTTCGAATTTTGAAACTCTTGATGCATTAAAATGTTCGTATTCAAGGGCGAAGTCAAATGGCAAATGCAAGTATTGGTCTAACTCTTGTCCTACAGCATGCACATTGCCTTTCTCATTTTTTCAAATTTTCTTCCTATATTTTTATAGGGGGTGTGGTTGCACACAACTAAAAAATGTTATGTTACCTTTATCCTTGTATCCACAATATTATTTGCAATTTTTATTATTTAATTCGATGAAATCGACGCGAAAATCTATGGAACATATCCGTCATTTTATCTCGTAATGCCTCGAGGTGGGTACCGGGCTTGCGCCAAGCAGTCACGTGGGAGGGAGGGTACCCACAGTGAAAAAATAAAAATAAAACAAACAAACAAACGCCGTGAAAATTAAAAACATAAGGAAGTAAATGTCAAATTAAGTTACTTCGGGGCCGTTCATAAATTATGTAGCGCAAAAATGTAGAATATCTTGACCCACCCTCCCTCCTTTCATATGATTTTGTGCCTATGTGAACAAAATCATTGAAGCCTAGGGCCCCCCTTCTCGCGTTACGTAATTTATGAACAGTCCCTTACAGCCTATGTGGAAATTGGAAATTTTTCATGACGTCACAACGGGTAAGGGACTATCGATATGTTACGTCATCAAAAATTATCGATTTTGGCACGCAACGTGAACATTGAAGGGTTGGGAATTTTAACATAGGAAAGATAGGAACGCCAAAACTAACCTCCAACTAAAATGATGACGTATCTAATATATGGACGTACCCTAAAACTATGTTACATAGCTTATGAACGCACTCTGAGATTATTAAAATTGAAAGAATTACCATCGCTCTCGATTTCCAAACTCCCCATATTTTATCCCGAACGAAGGCAAAGTCACGCTCGGCAGAAACGATTTGTAAGGACTGGGCACTTGACAGCACTTCCATCCAGCCCAAATGCCTCTGCTTATTGTCAACTTCTGATATTTTTCCAAATAAAATCGAACGTTTCTCCTGGATGACATTGAGCAGAGCCATTTTCCTTTCTTTTGATACTCGAGAGGCCTATGAAAATAATATAATTGTAGAAGGAAAAGTTAATATGTACATTTCCAAACCTGATTCGTATTTACTACTGGCTCTTAGTTAAAATTTCCCTTAGGTACCGTCCATAAATTACGTAACGCCAGAGGGGTGGAGGGGGGTCTAAGCCTCCAATGATATCGTGCCTATGTCACAAATGCTAAATGGGGAGAGGGGCAGGGGTATTGAAAATCTCGATTTTTGAGTTACGTAATTTATGGACGGCCCCTTTGGGACAATGATAATTTCAAAATTAAACTTGCTATCAACCAATTAAAATGTGTACCCAGTTTCCAATTTTTGACTGTTGACGAAAAACAAAAAATCCTCTATGCAACATAGTTGGTGTAAGGAAATTCCAAAATTTGTGAAGAAAACTATTGAAAAAAGCCACTTTTTACCATCGAGTTTTCCACAAATTAGCAAAGAAATGAGATATTCTCATTTTTTAGAAATTTTGGTATCAAATTAATTTGTGGACACAAACTTAACGGAAAATAAAGTACCTACATTTGTGTACTTGGTAGCCAAGAGGTTAAAAATAAAAAAATAAAGTATCATTAAATTAATTATCTAAACTAATCAAGTATACATAATTATTTGTATTGGATTCTTTAATATATGACTTACTAACTTGATTAATTTGGTTTAATTTAAAAATTAACTGTGAAATCAGCTTGTGTAAATTTAAATTTAATTAAATACAATTCCAATCACAAATAAATAACTTGGAGTCTTACCGTCATCATTATCGAATTTGGATGAATAACTGAACGAATTCAAGTGTATAATCAAAATAAAATTTTACAGATACTTGTTTTTCGACTTTTGCAAAATTACTTTGCAATTGTTGTTGTGAACATGTGGAGAGAAAAGTGAAAAGTGCGGACTCGACTGGCGATCGACTTGCATTACGTAAGAGTATTGAATACATGTTAGGGGACGTTCATAAATTATTTGATACAAACATCAGGATTTTTTATACCCACCTCTCCCCAGGGTTCGCTACCCCGGGTTTTTGTGGGTTGGGGTTTTTGGGGTTTTTGTGGGTTTTTGGGGTATCAAATCTCCGGAAAAACCCTAATGCTTAATGGGGTTTTTGCGGGTTTTTGTGGGTTTTTGTGGGTTTTTCCGGGGTTTTTGTAGGAGTTTGAGGCAGATTGAAACAAAATCCCTTAAACTACAACGTAGATCAATGCTAATTAACTTTTCTGCTTCATCCTGAAATTTTGAGAATTTTCATTTGCGACTTGAATTTCCAAATATCATTGCATATTTCCAGGTTTACATGTCAAACATGAATTTTCGATGTAAAAGTCCAAATCAATGATGACGGTTAAAATTGCATGTTAAAATTGTATACTAAATTAGTTTATCTCTAATATATAATTTTAGGAATTCTAGTTCAACCTGCCCCAAAATCTACAAAAACCCACAAAAACCCACAAAAACCCAAAAACCCACAAAAACCCCAAAAACCCCGGAAAAACCCCCGGGGTTGGGTTTTTCTACAAAAACCCCGGGGTTTTCCGAACCCTGCCTCTCCCCCTTTAGAATGTAGGTACGATAACACTGTAGCCTTTTTTCACCTTCCCTCTTGCGTTACATAATTTACGAATAGCCCCTAACTCTGTGCACATAGTATACGTACATTTAATATATGTATAGACCGTGAAGTGCATGTATGCATGTGTAAGTTTTATGGAAAATGCATGCATATCTGACTTATGGTCAATCCAGCTAATTAGGGATACTTATTTGAAGTTTGATACATATTCGTGTTCAAATAATCTACGCGTCCAAGAAGCAGCTAAATATGATGGAAAACCTATGTATGCATATCTATGTCGTGACGAAATAAATGGGATGACTGTACTCTTACAAATGAAAAAATATTGTTTCTTGACCACATTTTTAGCAGTGTAAATGCCACCATGGTTTGACCCTCGGGTTGCATTCTAGTAAGTACACAAGTAAAGGTTCGTTTTACTTAAATTAAATGCACCAAACCACTGTATTTCACAAAAGGTTATATGACATTTATGCATGGGTTCACGATCTATGTATACTAACTGGATGGACGAATGCGTAGCAACCTTTTCCCACATATGTATTTGTGGACAATAGTTCTTCCGAATCCTAAAAAAAGGTAAAATCCAACAACTTTGATCCCTTCTGTCAAATCCCTTAAACCTGTAGAACAGTTGAATTCACTCATTCACCTCACCCTGAGACGGGATTATTTGACATGATTTATTTTAAAGGTTGGGTTAATTACGATTAATGTTAATATTAATTAATTCTCCAGATTATCACGCTACATATGTACATATTTCTCCCCAACGGAAAACAAGCTACACTTAATTAATTAAATCATAGAAATCTTCACAGGTACGTATGTACATACATAAACTGGTTATTTTATACAAATGATTTTGAAATATGTATTTATGTATTCATTGACAGATATTTAGTCAAAACTCGACATGGAATTCCCCAGAGAAATTTCTATACCCCATGTCGCCCTTAATTTCCCCGAGGTAAGTATTTATTAAATATTCCTCATCATAAATTTACTTTTCAAACGTCTACTCCTATGTACAAGCGAAGAATCATTTCAGCTTATAGCATGCTATTGCATGTGGGTATTGAATTTCAAACCCCGTCTCAACTTTTCTTTCTTCCATGTACTCGATTCAGAGGTCGACGCAGCCGATCTCACGCCGCCGCGCCGCCATACGCCGATGATTTTTCCGCGCCGCCGCCGCCGAAAAAATTGATTTCCTATTCCATTAACATTGCGACGCCGCGCCGCGCCGCCGACGCCGCCGAAAAATCACCAAAAACTGGCGCCGCCGCCGAAAATTTGTCGGCGTCGACCTCTGACTCGATTTTGAAACCTATTCCCATTGCTACTTTTACAAAATAAAGATTCTAATTACATCCAAAAACATTGAAATAGGTTGATAAAGTTAGGAACGAGCAGTTTGATTCTCTTGTTGAGTAACAATAATGAAAACCGGAATCTGTTTGGACAAAAAGAAATATGATCTGGATAAGCTTGTCATTGTTTATAGAGCTGATTTTTGTGAGTTCAACGGTGTCAATAATTTGGATCTACTCAGCCCCCTCGCTGAGTGGGAGGAGCTCAAATTTGGAAAAAATCGCCCCGTCTGCGATTTTTAGCGCAAAGGAGGGTCAATATTTTTGAAAGCGGTTTTCACCAAAAGTTTCCTAATTTTATTCCCTACAACCCTTTTCAACCGTTTTTTGAAATTCCAAAAACGTATTTCACGATTTCTAGCATCCAGACCTTAACACAGGGGTAGATTGGGAGCTAACATAGCAATAGATGGGAAAAAACTCAAAAGTATTCTTCTGTCCCTGGAACATCAGGGAGTGGTTATGCACGGGACAAAGTAGGTATATTCTTAATCCTCCCGCCGAGACCTTTCCAACGATACCTCACTTATGGGGTAATGTGAGACTTGACCCTCCCCTACCCTTAGTCCCACATCGCGTAATTGGTTTTTGGAATTTCAAAAAACGGTTGAAAAGGGTTGTAGGGAATAAAATTAGGAAACTTTTGGTGAAAACCGCTTTCAAAAATATTGACCCTCCTTTGCGCTAAAAATCGCAGACGGGGCGATTTTTTCCAAATTTGAGCTCCTCCCACTCAGCGAGGGGGCGGAGTAGATCCAAATTATTGACTCCGTTGAACTCACAAAAATCAGCTCTATAAACGATGATAAACTTATCCAGATCAAATTTCTCTTTGTCCCAACAGATTCCGGTTTTCATTATTGTTACTCTGTTCCAATACTTTCTCCAGATTTTGGTTATTGCGTCGTCCTAAATATATTTACACACAGTTATATTTTACTCTATTTTAATGGAGTAAATTTGACAAAACCTTATTTCGAGTGAATAAACAAAATTATTATTGGTATTTATTTTAAGAGTTTCTAAAAACGGTAACAAGAAAATAGTTGTAAGGAAAGGAATTTAGGAAAATTTTGGTGAAAACTTTTTTTCAAACCTATTGACCCTGAGATTCTCTATATTATTTCTCTCAAACCTGTTGACCCTAAAAAAATACTAACAATTCGATGGTGTGATATAAGATGGTTATCGCCGATATCCACCGGACTAATTTTAAATTGTTCACGCTCAAAAATAAGTGAACGCATATTTTTGCCCTTTCCTAAATGGGCATGTTTACGCCCTTGGCGGAGTTTTCAAAAAGAAATTCAAAATTCTGATTTTTAAAAACGCTGGAACTTATTGAATTTGAACCTGATTTAAAAAAAAAAATAAACCCAATTTGTATTCAGAATTACATCCCTGAAAATCTAAACATTCATTTTAAAAAATTTGATATTTTCATGCTACATATTTCTGAATCTCTAGAAACCCAAAAAACGATAATTTTTAGAAAATTAAAAGTTGCCCAGATTTTTTCCAGTGACAAATTATGCAAATTCAGGAAAATTTTGATGAATACGGTTTTCAAAAATATTGATCCCAAGAATCTTTTCCAAATTATTATTTTTATCCTGAACAAATTCCAGTTTTCCTCATCTTTTTGTTTTTGAAAATACAAATTTGCATTTTATACACTCTGTACATGGAGAAAATACCTACAAATTAAGTAAAACTACAAGACTTAAACATTATTTTCCCCAGATTTTAGCCAAAGTAATGACCTTTCTCCCCAAACCTGACCTCATCACTTGCACCTTGGTTAACAGCGGATTTGCAGCAGAATCCCGGGAACGTCTCCTTTCCACGGAGTCCGTCGTCCTCAACGCAATTGACATCCTCAGCATGGACATCATGGAACGAAGCTGCCCTCAAAATGTGTCCATCCATGAACAAATGACTCCTTTTCCGCATATCATGAACTATTTTATTTCGAATAATGGCACCAAAGTGAAGCACTTGTCGACCTATTTACCCCTGGATGGTGTCACGATACCCCAATATTTCCACTACTTGTCGACATCCTTCCCAAACTTGACCACGCTCAAGATGGAGGTCACAAATTCAGCTGGACTTCCCCCCAACTTGTTCATCCCCTCGGAAAAAATGATTCGCTTTAGGAAGATTAGTAAAGTCGGGATCAAAATCAGACAACCATTGACCGCGGAACACTACGCCAAATTAGGCGAAATTATGGCATTTTTCCCAAATCTGGTGACCTTGGCTTGTGAAGGAATTTATTCATCTTTCCCGGGTAAGTCTTCAGATCCGAAAAATTTCTGTTCACATTGAGGGAGCTTCTATATATTTATTACACTCTTAAAAATCCGGTAATAAAATTTTAATATCGTTTGTTACCGCTCGTGTGGTAATATTATCTAGTACTGTCAGCGGTAGCGGAGTGTCCCAATTCCTCCACCACCGTGGTAAGGCAGTATTTAGTCTCGTGCCAGCATTACATACGTAGCAAAGATTTTGGGTTGCGGCCATGCGGTAATAGTGCGGCTACCAGCACGGTAGTGTATACCGCGTGGTAATAAAATTTCTTAAAGTGTATATACGTCATTACAAAAGACAGATTTGTAGACTATCCGCCAACCCGTTCCTTATCATGTTAAGTTGAACACGAGTAAGATAAGCGACCCAATCAGCCAGCTCTTTGGCGACATAATATATGGAAGTTCCCTTAACTGAGAACAGACTATTCATTCATTATTCGCTAAATTCATGACTAATGGTTGAATAATTTGTTGAAAATTCATTCAATGAATGAGTACTTCACAAATATGGATTTATTCATTTCATACATACTCATGAAGAATGGATGAATATTTATATGCATAAATGAATCATGAATGAATAATTGCTTTCCCAATTTTTAATTATAAATATTTTTTGAACTTAAGGAATACTTATCAGACCGAAATCGAAGATTGTGCCCTTCACCCGGCTGGAATTGGCTGCTGGGGACGGTATAACCCCCCTCATTTCGCAACTTCTAACCCTCTCCGCGCCCACCTTGGAACGCCTCAAATTCTTCCACCTGGCCAATTTCCCTTCCCACCATGACCACGAGAACGACGCTGTTTTTCCCGTCATGCCAAAACTTAAGGTTTTCACCATTGTGCAAAGCCCCACAAGAGGAGTTTTCAACGGGTGTTCAAATTTTATGCCTGCCCTGCGGTTCAAATTTGGACGGTTTAAAAGTGATAAGTTAGTTTATCAAGATCAGTTCCCCGCTCTGGAGAAGATCTCAATTTGCCCGGATCGTCACGTGGCTATCACCGGGTCCAGGTACTTCCTAAGTCGCCTCGAGTACTTTGAAATGACGGCAAGATTTTTGTACAATTCGTTCCTCCGGGAAGGAAATTCGTGTGGGGTGACGGTGAAAGAGTTGGATGTCCCGTTCCCCCCGGGGGACAAGTTTAGCGTGATTAAGAAGAAGATAAGCTCAGGGTCATGTACTAGAGGGCCGACGGGTTTGTGCGAGTGTGGCGAGGAGAGGGACTCGTCCGAATTTTGGGACCGAGTAGCGGCAATATTTCCTAATTTGGTGGGGTATGCGGCCATGGGGGGAAGTTTGGAGAGGGCAAGGGTGGAGATGGGGGAAGAGTTGGGGTTTATAAAGGGGGAAGGAGGAGAGGGTTGGATTTAGGTGCGGATGGGTGGAGGAACGGTTTCAAATGATAATTTAACCTCTTAACGAAGAAGGACGAGCTTTGTAAAGAAGCGAGCTTGATTATCGTTCATGACGAAACATATGTACAAATACACATACATTTGTACCGCATAAACTATCCTGACAATAAAATTTCTTAAAAAGATGGTATTATCAGAACCACGTACATATATAAGAGCAGGACAGAGGGAAGACAAATGTGCATGCTTTTTGTTTGAAAGATTTCACATGGAGCCTCACTCACCAATGGCGTCACTATGTCACACCACGTTAAAGCAAGCAAAAACCCTGCACATTTGTCTGGTCTGATGAGAACCGAACAATATTTCTTTGGTATTTCGCGCCGGAGCTGGTAGTTCATTCACGTCCCTCAAAACTGAATAATGTAGAAAAATCAGCATTTTTTCGAGGTGACCAGTACGCGCATACATATTTAGGTAATTTTGTATATTTTTTTCTTGGCTATCGCCTAGAGATAAATTTGCTTCACCTAAGACAAAAATACGGGTCAATTTATTTTTGAGTGTGAACAATTAAAAATTAGTCCGAGAGATATCGGCGATAACCACCTCATCTCATAAAATATATAGTAAAACGTTAATATCGGGCGTGTTACAACGCCGTATTAGTTATCAATACCACTCTGGTAGAGTTGCATTTGACTATATACCGGATGGTATTATACTGGATTTCTTGTAGATTATCTCCGCGGCCGAAATATGTAGCAAACCTTTTCTATTCGTGAGAAACTACATATTATGAAGGAATTTACAGAAGTCTAAAATTATACAAAAAGGGTCAAACACCAAGACTTGGGTCCCTTCTTTTAATATGCCTTAAAATTGTACCCTACAAGCGGATATACTCCATCACCTCATTTTGGACGGGGTTACTTTACTCAAATTCTTTAGTTTAAACTGAAGGAATAATTTTCAGAGTTCATTCCCACTGTATTTACGTACAATCATCAGGCTGCAGGTAATTCAATTAACCTGCGAATTTTACCTGGAAAACTTACTATTTAAAATTAAATTAATTTAAAAAAATTTCAGATATTTCCAAAACTGAAATATGGAACTAACCAGGGACATTTCGAAACCCCATTTCGCCCTCAATATCCCCGAGGTATTTATAGATATTTGGTCTTATACGTACATATTTGCATGATTATGAACAAAATGCTTGTGCATATAATTTTAGTGCCTGAACAAATTCCAGGTTTCATAATTGTTATTTAAAAATACAAATTTGCATTTTAAGTATTTTTAAAACCACCAACAAAACAAAATTACAAAACTTAAACATCTGTTTTCTCCAGATTTTGGCCAAAGTAATGACCTTTCTACCCAAACCTGACCTCATCACGTGCACCTTGATCAACACCGGATTTGCTGCAGAATCTAAGAAACGTCTCCAATCCACGGAACGGGTCGTCCTCACCGCAAATTATATCCTCAGCTTGTGTACCACGTGGCGAAACTGTCCTCGAAATGTGTGCATTTTGAAACAAATGACTCCTTTCCCTAATATCCTTAAATATTTTATTTCGAATAATGGCGCCAAGGTGAAGCACTTGTCGACCTATTTACCCCTGGATGGTGTCACGTTACCCCAATATTTCCACTACTTGTCGACATCCTTCCCAAACCTGACCACGCTTCACATGGAAGTCACAGATTCTGCTGGACTTCATCCAAGCTTGCCGTTCCCCTCGGGGAAAATGCGTCCCTTTCGGAAAATTAAGAAACTTAAAATCAAAATCAGGCAATCATTGACCGCGGAACAATATGCCAAATCAGGCGAAATGCTGACCCTTTTTCCAAATTTGGTGACCTTTGCTTGTCAAGGAATTGATTCATCATTCCCGGGTAAGTTTGTAGACCCGTAAAATTCGCCACACATTCAACGAGCGTGCATAGATTAAAAACGCTGATTTTTCGACTACCGACCAATCCGTTGCTTATCATTGCCCATGTTAAACTTAAGATAAGCGACCCAATACCACCCTGCCAAGTGCCACATTTCCGGCGACGCAATATATGGACGTTCTTTGATCTATTCAAGTATTCATTCATTATTCAGTAAATAAATTCATGAATAATGAATGAATAATTTGTTCAATTTTTTTAAATGAATGGGTATTTCACAAATATTTATTCATTTCATCCTCATGAAATGAATATGATGCCTAGGGTGTATCTAGAAACCCATCAAATTTAAGATACAAACACTACGAAATGAATAAAAATATTTAATTTCAAACTTCCACCATTTGCATGAATGAATAATGAATGAATATTTTTTCCCAATTTTTGAATTAAAGAGATTAATATCTATTTCTCGAACAGGAACGCTTATCGGACCGAAACCGAACACCACTTCCCTCACCCGGTTAGAATTGGCCGCTGAGGACGGTATTACCCCCCACATTTCAAAACTTCTAACCCTCTCCTCGCCCACCTTGGAACACCTCAAATTCTTCGACCTGACCAATTTCCCGTCCTACTTTGACACCGGAAAGGACGCTGTTTTTCCCGTCATGCCAAAGTTGAAGATATTCGCCATCGTGCAGAGTTCCTTCAGCGGGCTGATATTCTGCCAGTGTTGCAATTTTATGCCTGGGTTGAGGCTAAAGTTTGAGGGGGAACGTGATACATTTAATTACCGAGAACAGTTCCCCTCCTTGGAAAAGATTGCGATTTTCCGGAATGAAAGAGAGGTCGGGGATTTAAGTCGGCTCGAATATTTTGAGACGAGCGCGAGATTTTTGTACAATTCGTTCCTCCGGGAAGGAAATTCAAGGGGGGTGACGGTGAAAGAGTTGGACGTCCCGTTCCCCCCGGGGGACAAGTTTAGCGTGATTAAGAAGAGGAGGAGAAGTTCGGGATGTAGTAAGGGGCCGACAGGTTTGTGCGAGTGTGGCGAGGAGAGGGACTCGTCCGAATTTTGGGACAGGGTTGCAGCAATATTTCCAAATTTGGTGGGGTATGCCGCCATGGGGGGAAGTCTGGAGAGGGCGAGAGTGGCCAGGGTGAAAGAGTGGGTGGAGATGGGGGAGGAGTTGGGCTTTATAAAGGGGGAATTGAAGGGGGGAGGATGAGAGGGTTGGATTTAGGGAAGGATGGGTACGTCGAGGTGGAAGAAAGGGTTAAAATAATAGTTTAAGGAGGGGGAAATTTCAGTCGTGTAAAGATAATTAATAAAAAAATACCTGTTATGAATAATTCAGTAATATAGCACAGTATGCGATTTCACGATGTCAATATTTAGGGAACGTACGTATTGTTAACACACAAAATTGATGCACTGATTCTTGTGGGGTTTTATACAAAGTACCCGTAATAATTATTAGTCTCACATTCCCGTTGAGGCTGTATTGGATGATTTATTAAATGAGAAAAGAAGTAGTTCACATCTTCACTCTCAACTCGTAACTAAACTAAAATCCTGCACAATTCAGGATTGCTAAACTAAAAGTGGTTGTCGTAATAATTAAAAGTGGATTAATTAAAAGGCAAGTAATTCTACATTATCATTATCATCCGTACATTACGTGGGTCGTCGTTGCACAATTATCACACAAAAATGGGTAGGTCATTCCAATATTCCAATGAGAACAACATTGTATCATCTCACTTAATTTAGTCGTGTGGAGTCCAAGTTCCATGATTGAATAAAGATCGAGTGTTCGCAATAATGTCGATTGTACAAAAACAACAGGATGTCGTATGATGTTATCTAGTTGCTAAACAGATCTAACTTTACATAAGTAATGAATTAAACGTTGGGTCAAGAAGATGACTCAGTCATTCATTGATTCGTGTCTTCACTCGTCAGCATTGATAAGGCTTGGGCTATTAAAACGTAATCTCCACGTTCTCTCGCATGCATGTCATACAATAAGTGCAATATCAGCTATTATTAGTTAAAGATGTATGCCGATTTCGGGGTCTTAGCAGTATATTATGTCAACAACCTCGAATTTCTAGTTTAAAATCTGGTAGAGTAATACATCTTCTCCGTATTGGTATTGAGTATGGTACTAACTTCCGACCGGATTGAGACTTGTTTAATTGTGAGTGGTAAATTATTCATTACCACGGCCTTGCTAAACGATAATGATGTACTTTCGTATGTATTACCGGGCCGGTTGAGTCGGTAATCATCCGATCAGTAATGATTTAATGCCAAGTTTCTAGCAGTACATGGAATGTAGCATGATTGGATCATCCATGTATGCGCGGTCCAAAATCGATGACAGACTTTACGCAGGGTACCTTACTAATCATGAATGAACCAGTTTACTCCTAAGTTTTACGCATTCCCGTGGTTTTGGGTCGTTGGCTAATGGCTAATATGTAATGATTTTATAGCGCGTGAAGATGTGCAGTTATTTAATCATATATGTATAAATACACACATACCAACATAAATATACATATACTTACTTTTTTAATTGTTTTACTCACAATGCGACCGTGTGAAGTGTAAGCCTCTGATTTGGTTGACATTTTGAAATTACGTGGTCCATGTCAATACAATCAGCATTTCTTCAGGCAGTTTGTGTGGATCTGGCGAGAATTTTCCAAAATATTTGAGGGCAAAGTTGACAAAGATGAGATTCTTAGCCCGAGAGGAAAATTGAAGTTTAGTTTGCTTCCTCCGCACGGTAAAAATCAACTTTGTCCTAAAATATTTTGGGAAATTCCAACCATTGCACAATCTGCCGGAAATGCTGATTGTATTGACATGGACCACATGGTTTCAAAATTTCAACCAAATCGGAGGGTGACACTTCACACTATCGCATTGTTAGTAAAAGGCAGGGGTTCAAGTTTAGTAAAAATGTTAACCGTAGTAACGTGGTTTGCGATGACGCAATTTTCAAAATCTCATAACTATCGTAACAAACAATGTTAAAATTACTTATGCAAACCCCACCAGTGTAAACTTATAAATATTACAAACTTGTAATATTTTAAAATTTCGCCACCGGGGTTATTACCGGTTTGGTAACAAAATGACTACCACTTAATAATAAATTAATTACCACGCGGTAGAGTCACATAGATACTCCGCCTGGTAATAGGTTATTACACTCTTAGCAAAACGGTATTGAATCATCACCAACCGGAGTGCATATATGACTTGACCAGCGCGGACATTACCGTATAGTGAAAAATATACACCGACGTGGTGATGAAGACTTCCCACTCAGAATCAAACTATTACCAACCCGGGGACAAATTATCACCAAATCAATACCATCCCGGAGTGTATATGTGACTTCATCACATTTTTTACAGTGTACTAATAACTTATCCTTAGTTACCGGGTTTCTTAGAATGTCTGTATGTACATAGTGATGCAACACATTATGTATGTGACAATTCAAAAAAATATTTACACTTCCACCTCTATTTACATTTCACTTACCAGTAACTTATTCACATAATATGAGTTCCAACGGATGGGTACGATGACATCACAATTTTTTTGGGCATGGCAAAATGCGCAGTAGTCTCAATTTGAGACTCTCAAATCAAGCTGCAGAGGATTAGTGATAAATACATACATTATGTATGTATTTATCACTACTCCTCTGATGTATGTACATCTTTTTGGAGAGTACTAAATTTATCTCATTCATACGCACATACCCATTAGCTAACGTTTATCCATGGTGGATATATGAATAGCTAGCGAGAAAATTATTTTACTGAGATTTAAATAAAATTATCCGTCAAAAACCCCTTAAAATTTGTAAGACATCAGTGTAAGAATTTACTGTGGGATCCTGATTTTCATTATTTTACAGTATTAATTGTCAGAAATAAGAATAGAAGTGTCTAGTTGCGGTTTGACACTCCATGAAACTTGGTATTGAGCGGAATGACTTGTATTAAGCGGTGATACCAATTTGGTATGTATACATTCGATAATAAAATAATACTGTGCAGTACTAAGTGAAATATTAACCGGTATTAAAATTTATACCACGGAGTGTTAATTTATTACCAGATCATTACTACGAGATAGAGCCACATATTGATGACTGCGTGATATTGATTTTTTAAGAGTGCACATACATACCTAGCAATGGGGATAAGGGGATCTAAAGGATGCGCAAACAGAGGTATAATTACTCAGAGGGTTTTAGAAATAGTCATTTTTACGCTGATTCTGATTCTACTACATTCACATTCACAATCATGTACTACACTGAATATTTAGTTTTCACAAGTAACATTTTTTAGATTGTATCAAAATTATGGAAATCCAGAAAACAGGCGAAGCGAGCAATTTAAACAAAGAGTCTTGACCGTAATTTGTACAAATGAGACTGGTCTGAAAAAACTTTTTCTAAATTCTGCGAATTTGAATGTAGGCAGTTTCCCGGCTGTTTTTTGAGCTACATTTAGAATCATAGTAACAATTACAATTTCGTAAACAACTCTCCATTAACGGATAAAAATGCGTTGCCGAATATGAAGATTTTAACTACTTAATACGGTGTAAAATAATTTCTGCAATATTTATTCTCAGCGTCAAATCAGCATTCTTCAACAGCTAATTCCATTATTAAACCTTGGACGGAACAAAATCTTGGTCAAGTTTGCGGTGAATAAAATTAATTATGAAAAAATCTTGGCAAATTTATCAAGTAACAATCAAAATAAAAATTTGTCGAATCAACACCGCCGGTGTCAATATAATACTTAACCGCCTTGGTTACAATGTTGAATCCGAGTTATTATGATTTTGATACCGGTAGTTATAATGTTATGCCTGGACGGAAAAAATTTATTACTACTCGGAATCACAATTGTAACCAAGTAGGTTAGGAGTAAGAATTAAATGATTCGACAAGCAGATCCGCCGACTATTTCAAAAGTACAAATACTCTATTGGATTATGTTCCCCACATGAAACGAATTAAAACTTAGCAATTTTTTCGGGCGCCAAAATTTCCTTTGGGGGGTTATGAGAATAATGGGAGATAAATGTGGTGCACATAGGGCACAGCATATCTATGAAATGGGTTGATGAAATTTCAAAAACAAAATTTTGTTACACTCTCTGGATCAGTACCCCGATAGGTTTTTCGAACTGAGGTGGAATTCCGACTTTGAGGGGCTTTTCACAGCGACGCAAAATTGACTCAGAAATTAATTTTTCGCTATAACGAAAAAGTATGACGAAATGTTCATACATTAGCTTTTCACCAATTTTTACTACGTTGCAAATTATTAGTAGTAGAATAAAGGTTAAATTACAAAGAAAGTCGAAATCGACATGCGTGACCTTTTTCGGGGATCGAAAGGTCACAATGTCAAAGGTCACATTACCCCATAAATGGGGTATCGTTGGAAAGGTATTGGCGAGGGGATTCAGAATATGTATACTTTGTGGGGTCTGAAACCACTCCCTGCAAGTCTAGAGGCCAAAGAACGAAAATCGGCAGTTGTCCAGAATTTAACACAGCAGTGGATTGGGAGCTAACACGGAAGCATGCATGGGAAAAACTCAAAAATATTCTTTTGGCTCTATGTTTGCAGGGAGTGGTTTCAGACCCCACAAAGTATACATATTCTGAATCCTCTCGCCAATACCTTTCCAACGATACGATGTTTTTGAAATTTCATCAACCCATTTCATAGATATGCTGTGCCCTATGTGCACCACATTTATCTCCCATTATTCTCATAACCCCCCCCCAAAGGAAATTTTGGCGCCCGAAAAAATGCTAAGTTTTAATTCGTTTCATGTGGGGAACATAATCCAATTAAGTATTTGTACTTTTGAAATAGTCGGCGGATCTGCTTGTCGAATCATTTAATTCTTACTCTTAAGTCATATATTGACACCGTTGAGTGTATATGTAGAACAACTGACTGAATGCGAAAACAAAAATTTGTCAAATCAACACCGCCTGTGTCAATATATGACTTAACCACCTTGGTTACAATTGTGATTCCGGGTGGTAATGAAATTATTCCGTCCGATCATAACATTATAACTACCGGTATCAAAATCATTAGGTATAACTCGGATTCAACATTTTAACCAAGGCGATTACATAAGTCATATATTGAAACCGGCGGTGTTGATTTGACAAATTTTTGTTTTGGGTGTATGAATTCTTCTAACTTGGATTATGCATTTCAGGCCACGAAAAGGGTATTCAAGGTTGGCGGAACTCCGGCTATTTAGACGCCACCCTATTCTGCATTTTTTCCTTTTCCAATGTTTTAGATCGCATACTTCTCCCAGGGTACAGAAAGGCAGACAATTCACGTAATGAAACTCTTATTAGTGGACATGTTCAAACCATATTGCGGGATGAAATCGTGAATCCACTTCGAAAAGACTTTTTCCTTCCGGCCGGCAAAGTTATGAAACTTCGAAAAGAAATGGCGGTCTTTGATGCAAAGCTAACTTCCGAGGAAATGGATCCCTTAGAATTTATGTATGTCTTGTTCAGTGAAGTATTGAATTTGGAAGAATTTTTATCCCTGTCATCGGGACAATCGGATTACTTCCATCAAATCTTGGTCGCAAGGGAAGGCCGAGGCAGGACTCCGACAATTCAGCAGATATTTGAAGAATCCTTGATTGTACAAGAGCTTAAACTAAAGGGGGTACCCAAACCCGTTTTAATTTTGCAAATGTCAAGGACGAATAGTTGGAAGTCGTTTGAATATATCATCCCTAGCTTGAGGATGGACATAACACATCTTCTTGAGGAGGGTATGTAATTAATTCTGCTGTATTTATACCAATATGGGAGCTGACAATTTTCAAGCTACGCCAGGATTGTGGAACGAGCTATATCAAACAATCAAGCCAAAAATTAGGAATCACGTGGCGCTTATCATTTCGTTGAAGGGCCCCTCTCACGAAAAGTATTGGTGGCAAGGTTCAGTTGGTTATTGAATTTTCTCTCATTTTTTTCTCCACGAGGCGAAAACTCACGTCGCTCACGAAAACTTTGACCCCCAATATTTTTCTTCAAAGGGGCCATTCAGCGGAACGATAAGCGCCATATGTATGAGTGCCAATTTTTGGCTTGATTTTTTGATATAACTCGTTAGTCAGTCCTGGTGTAGCTTGAAAAAAAAGGTTCCATTGTGAGTTGGAAATCCGTTTTTTCGGATCATGCCAGGGTTCAGGACCCGCCTAAGGAAGATAGACTCTCCACATGCCAATCCCAGATCTGGATGCCCTCTACATCTTTGGTAGGCAAGAAATGGATAAGCCTACAGTCGTTTTACGCTGTGGCCACATTTGCGTCCGGCACACCCCCTCAATGGGAGAAAAACTACTCAAATTGCCCACTTCAAACTTTCCTAAAAAATTCAATTTTGATCTGATGTTGACAATTTTTACATATTTTTGGCCCTAGATAGTCGCTCTATCATATTCAACAATAATCTCAACTTTTTTGAAATTATCGAAATTTCAAACTGCTTCGGATATTTTCGAGAAAATTCAAAATTTCAAAATACACGAGATTGCTGTTGAATATGATACAGCGACTGTCTACATATGTAGGACCAAAAATATACAAAAATTGTCAGATCAAAATTGAATAGTTTTACCACACGCAAATCGGCTTTTTGCATTTTTCACACCTTTGAGGGGTGTGCCGCACCCAAATGAAGCCATTGAGTAAAACCACTTCAGGGTTAGCAATTTCTTACCTACATAGGATAACCAAATATGTGGGGCCATCGAAATTTGCGATTTGAATGTAGAGCGTCTCTCCCCCGTAGTTGGGTCGCGTCGCTCTAAATACATAAATAATTTTAAATTCATAAAACGGGTTAGGTCGCTCTTTTAAAAACATTATTTAAAAATTATTATTTAAAAAGCTTAAAAACCTAAACAATGTGTGATTCAGGTCCTTCCAGTGAGAAGTTTCAAAAGGATGGAAAATTGAAGCAAAGCACATTTGGAAATACTCTTCTGGGATCAGGAGAAAAATCTACGGTATTTCGGAAAACGTATGTTAATCGAATTTAGAAAAAAGACATAACGCACAAAATACATAATTAATAGTTTTAAAATCATTCGACCCAAATTTCAATATTGCGTAATATTTAACAAAAGATAAATCGTAATTTTAATTTGCTAATCACACAATTAGAGAATCAAATCGTCGAGTCACGATGGAACTTTTTGCCGTGATATGTATCGACGGGCACCACGTGACATCATTCGTCAAATCTGGACCAAGTCTGCAAGCACCCTGGGTATACTTTGACTCCATGGGACAAACTGCGACACCCGGAAGCGATCACATCATTCCAAAGGTAACGGTTTTTATCAATAACATGGAAGTAAATTTTCGCGTCTCCTAAATATTCGTAAAATGTCTCATAAATAATATACAAGTTGCCTACACGGGAAACGTCTCTTAAATGAAAAAAATGTCTCATAAGTATTTACATTTATCTCATAATATGATTAGCTATGTAAAAGCAATTCTTATCATTTTCTGCCTCAAGTCTATGGCACATCATCCGAAATACTCCCAGTTTGTTTGTTAAAGGTTTTATTTGTTCTCAGCTTTTTAAATTAAAGTCCGAAGTGCTCCGGTTTCCGGAATCTTGTGACTCTGACCGCGATTCGAACTCTGAACATGACATTAACCCAAGGAAGGAAAGGAAAATCGCTGAGTGTGAGGTGCTCCAGGAGTAAATTTGAAGCCAAGAATTACTTAGAGGAGCTAAAAGGGTGGAGATATCTGAATCAATATCTTCTTCAGAAAGAGAAAAAATTTTTAAATATGTGTCGAGTGGAAAAAGAATGTATGTAGCTCGAAATCAAGGATTGTTCTCCCCAAGGATTCAGTGAAATCATCAGTCGAAAAGCCAATAGCTAGCCATGACCATGATCCAAATGAAAAATTTTGTCATGATAATTCGACTAATATTATCTAGTATTCAATGATATACAAAAGGCGATCAGAGTTGGTTTTCACAAATTCATACCTGAATTACTAGACGGTTTTTGGGTGGAGAGATTTCTAATGCTTTTTATGTCTCAAACTATAGGTCAACATATTCATCTGGCTTCCAGTTTTGTGCACTCTGGCGAATGTTATAGGGTCAAATTTAGAAAGGTGTCATTTTTTAATTTTCCGTTCTTATAACAAAATGGTGTCTAACAAAAGATTTTTTTCCGGAGGCCCTAGTGCAGAAATCTCCTTTGTGAATTTTACCAAGGGATTTAGCATGCTTTTCACTATATAAAACCACTTTTGTCTCACATTATATTTTAATTCCGTTTTGTAGTCTAATTTCATACTTATCCTTGTGGAAGGCGCTCGTGCACACAACTTATCCCCTTTTAAGGCCCCCACATTTAACACCTTTGACGTTAAAAATACCAAACGTTGTTTTTGTCGAAGGAACAAATAGTATATTGCAATTTTAGAAAGAAAAAGAAATCAAACAAGGCTTTGTTAAAACAGTAAAACTGATAATTATATGAAATAAAGTGAGTTTTTTATAAAACAATTTAGGAGTTAGTTATGGATTTATATGAGACTGCAAAAATAATATTAGGAGACGTTTTGCATGTAGGCAACTTGTATATTACTTATGAGACATTTTACCATTTTTTATGAGACGCGTTAATTGCATACCCAATAACATACATATGTACATATTTATTTATCACATATGAAAATTTTGGCTGCTTTTATGCACATTGGCTGGATTTTAAGTCGAAAAATTTTTATGAAGAAACTATTGTATTCACCGCTTTTACATTTGTCACTTTCTGCACAATCCGAGACACGATTTTCATACGGGATTATTATTCTTTTCTATAATTTCCTTCCCTCTTTTCAATTTTTGTCAGATATTCCAACTTAGAATTGTACATATTTTTCTAATTTTGTAACTTTTTTTCTTAAGTCTTATTAAATTATACTAGATTCGCGTACTTCCGGAAATGGGTGTATGGCTGACCAGGTTGGAGGATAGTCTGGACGTGAAAAAAATATTGCAGGAAGAAATATTCTCACAAGAATTAAAACTTTTGTTGACTGATTCTTATATTTATTTATATTCTTAAGGAATTAGCCAATAGCAACAAAAAATAAAATATGCTCACAAAGGTTAACAAACATGGCAATAGAAGAATAAACTTTTTCCCCAGACTTCTCCAAAATGCAGAGGATCACGTTTTTCTTAACCACAGCAACATTTTTTGACTGCATAGTGTACCTGAATTGACGATTTACATACCACGTAGAATTTTTGCTAATTATTAAAAAATTAGATTAAGTTTTGCATATTTTGTTTCATTTCAGACAAGGAATAATTGCAGAATCTGGGGATAATTCAATTCATACGCACAATAAATTTCACCAGTGCAGAGATTTAGTACATACTATAGCATAATTTTCTTCGCGTTGCTTTCTCTACTGCTCTCTGTATGTACATAATATAACCTAAAACTAATAGGAACCATCAAAGCCCTCATCAGTCTGTATCTCCCTAGCCAAATCGTCTAAAAGTTCTTCAACCTCATCTTTTTCGAGGAACTGACTTAGCCCACTGACCGTAAAGTTATCGCCATACCCAATACCGACCACTTCAAGACCTATTTATAATTCAATAAATTGATTTCAAACGAAGTGTAAAAAAATCAGATTTTCACTAACCTTCGTGTAAATATAGTAAATCCCAGGCAGCCATTTCAGTAACGTCTTTTCCACCAATACTACCAGATTTCTTGAGGAAAGGGATGTTATTAAGCCCAACTGGCACGAGGGATGGGGGCATTATAAAATTTATCAATCGGACCGGTAACCGACCCACCCAGGTGAAAAGGACGTTACCAAACATGCATGTGATATCAAGCTCTGATTTTACAGGACCTCCCTCCAAAGGGATTGATACCACGAGGGGCATAAATTGATTAGCCGGGCCGGACTTGTAAGGCGGCAAGGCTTGCACCGAGGCTCCTTGGATGTTCCTAAAAGAATTTCATGTTAAAAATTGCCAGGGTTATTGAGGGAACGTCCATGGATTACGTTATCAAATAACCGGAGCTTTTCAACTAGACACATTTCTAATTAATTAGTAATTGATAATTAGAAGGGAAATATTTTGTCTAATTAATTTGTAATTAGTAATTAAACTCTAGTTGCTAATTAAACCACTTAATTAGGACATTGACCAATTAATTGATAATTTTTTGGTGATTTTCTAATTAAACAGTAATTAAAATTAGCTTCGGTAGAACTAGTTAACATCAATTAGTAATTAATGATTAGTTTAAGCACTTAATTAGAGAATTAATTAGAAACCCAGAATAATCATTATTAATGATTATCAAAAGGAGGGTAAAGGGTCATGGGTCGTCTATCTGACTTATGTAAGGTTCACATGAGTAGAATAGGTAAGGAGTAGGTGGGTCGGGAGGTTTAAAAATCTGTTTTCTGATAACGTAATATGAATTTTCTAATTAAATGCTTAAAGTAATTATTAATTACTAATTGATGCTAACTAGTGTTTAGTACCTAAGCTAACTTTAATTACTATTTAATTAGAAAATCGCTACAAATCACCAATTAGATAATTGGTCAATGTCCTAATTAATTAGCTAATTAATTGGTTTAATTAGCAACCCTGATAATGTAATATATGTATGAACGTTCCCTAATTACTCTTGCGACGAATGGCATACTTTAAATTTAAATGTTCCCCCGTTCTCCTTCGTATACGCAACGCTTTCCCTAGCGCGGCTGCAAAATGTGAAGTCATACTTGCGCCCCCCTTCCGTACAGAGTTTATCCTTTTTATGGAAATTGATCGTGGCCGCGAGAACGTAGTGTTTTCCGTGTATTTTTTAACGGTGAAGTAGTTTTGACTTTGATCATCCAATATTTGAGGTATGCTCCGTTTTGTGTACAGATTTAAGAAAACCATCAGTGGTAGATTGAAGATGGCCCAGACTTTTGCAAAAAACAATTTCTTCCTGATATCTGGGGGGAAATTCTGAGTGGGGATTCACAACCCAGGGAATCTTGGAGGAAGGCCACGTGTCAAAGATGCATTCGCCCAGGAGAACACCGACCGAGGCGCCATCCATGTAGGAATGATCCCACCGAAAGATGCGGACTGATCCGAGGGTGCCATCCTTTCTTTGGAGGCGGGGAATTAGTAACCATTCCCATTGAGGCTTCGTGGTGGGCATGGTCTGGGTGAGGAAAGGCACTAAAAATATAAGCAAAGGCATACATACATATTTAGATATCAAAAAAATTAGGTTTTGCGACTAGAAAACTGGTCTAACGTAATTTTTTCAACTTTTCCATAATGACTCGTTATTGATCTGCTTATTATGACCTTATTTAAGTAAAATTATGAAAAGTTTTGGCCAGAAACCGATCTCTGAATTTTTTCTTCGTGCATAGTCCAAATGAAACAAACATTGCGGGTATTCATTAGGGTACTTAACGTATGTGCATATATGTATTTTGTATGGTATACATACTTAAGTAACTATGTATATACATGGGTACTTTATGCGAAGAATTTCTCAGTTGTGTGAAACGAATTTTTCACAGTCGTTTGTGTGGTTTGAGTTAGGGATGCCAAATCCGGATACTTCGAAAAATCCGTATTTTTCGGATATCGAATTATCCGATATCCGGATTTCATTTTGGAATAAATCCGGATTTCCTTAATTTAAACACTATTTTTCATATGCACTGCAAAGATAGAAATTGTTGCGAAAAGTGTAAATTAAAAAGAAAAGTTTGTTCATGTTATTCATCTCCGGTAGTTATTTTACCATATTCGACATCAAACTAACCGTTTTTGAAACTTTACATGTTTTTAGTCCATCAATTTAAAAATATACCAAGAAACTATCTACCTATACATGGTCACAAAATTTTAAACCATGGTGAAAATTTGTAAAAAGCTAAAATTTCGATTGAATATGATACAGGGTGGCCCTCAGTAACTGTAAGTGAAATGAAGCACTGTAGCTTCAGCAGTTTTTCTGTTACAGATTTCTAGTAAATTTTAGTGGAAAGCCAGTTAATTTTTAAGTAGAAAACAATTTTTGGTTTCCGAAATTTCTTCCCCCAACATTAATGCAGAGCTGAAGACGCGGCCTACAGCCCTCGATTGCAGCACGCTCGGAATCGGTGGACAAATTGTTCCATTTCGTGGTGAAAGCATTTTTTAAAGCTTTCAGACTTCTGTGAGGCTTAGAACACACCTTTGTCCCTAATTTTGACCGTTTTTCACAAGTCCAGAAATTCAAATCCAACAAGGAGCATGACAATTCCCAAGCGGAGATAATGTTGGGAATTTGGTTTTTTAACCACCCTTCGCTCATTTTTTGCAATATTCAGTGGTACTGAGTCCTGTAGCGAGGTCCAGTCGACTGCATTGGCTTGGATCACTTAGGGGATGTATGTACCTCGGAGTCAAAAACGTATTTCAAAGATTTTTTTTCTTTCACGTTCCCCCCCGTTTCGACAAAATGAGGAGAAATTACCCATAATTAGCTCTCATCTGCCAAAATCATAACAAAACATGGATAATGGGAACTTTTGACCTTCTTTTTATATTGAGGGATATCTTTGACCTATTTTGCGTAGACGAAGTCATTTTGTTTGTTTAAAAAATCCTTCACAGTGAAAATCTGCTCACCTGGAACGAGAATTTTCTTTACTCTTTTTTAGCGTACCGCTTAAAGAGAGCCCTGCATTTCTTTAACCCTGTTTTCTTTTGAGGGATAATCAGCATGCGGTAAGTGCTACGTTTCAAAGCCTTAAGTCTAAGGTTCGGTTTGAGCACTCATTGGATAATGTGCATCTACAATGTCAGCTGTAAGGCTATTTTCCGTTGGAATTTCGAGAATTTTTTCGGATTACAGCCTTCAGCGCCTTGACGATGGGTGTGGTCCTTGGAGGTTTTCATAAAATCGTTCTTCGACTGTTTTTAGTTTATACTGTCCCCATGAACGTTTTTATAGTGCGTTAGACTAAATTAAAGTGCACGTTCGATTCCTATCACACTTTTCATATTCACTATTTTTCTTCCCATTTTTTTGTCAAAAATTATCGCCGGCCGCGTCCTTTCAAGATTTTCCCTGCTGATATGCTTTGCAAGTAATAAAAACGGACATGTGGTATTTACGTAAAATCGCACGGGGAATCCAATGCGCTTATCAGATCTTGATTATCTCCAGTGGTTTTGCCATTAAGAGCTACTTACAGCTAGCATAAGTCCACTAGGTAAAGAAGTATTCGACATTTATCAAGCTCGTTTAATTATCAAGGAACTTGATAATGGCAATAAATAATTCAAATCCGGATTTGGGCTCAGCCGAAACCGGATAATCCGAAATCCGGATTTGTAAATTCGGAACGGATTTGGCAGCCCTAGTTTGAGTAAAGTGAAATAATGAGGGTATTCACGCACCCTTGGTAACTACGTAAACAGCGTAAAATCCGTAAACTTACAAACGTTTACAAACAGCTTCCCGTGAATTCACTTTCGCAATTATTTTCGTAAAAATTTATCTGATAATTGAAACAAAATGCCGATCATTTCCAGAAAACGGAAATTAATGGAAGAAATTTGTGGAGCTGCATTTATTGATATAATAAATACCACGAACAGTGAAGGCTGTTCCTATAAAAATTTCGAAATTCAACCCTCCTAAATTCTAATCCTAAATCACACTAAATCTTAGCTGAATATATAACTTCTTAGAAATCGGTATCGGTGCCCCTCCCTTATTGCCCATCTGGTTATTTTTTGTTCATCTTTGACTTCATATTGGTTCATGAGAAGCTATCACCGTTCCGAATTTCAGCTTTTTGAGACAAGTTATGAAAATCGGTATGGGTCACCCCAACGGGTCCCGGATGTGATTTTTTACCAATTCCACTTCATATTCTTCCATTAGGAGCCTTTAGCAGCCTCTATACCAAATTTCAGCTCGATTGGATGATTTTGAAAAATCGGTATGGGTCACCCCTTCGGGTACCTCCAGATGAAAAATTTTCCAATTTCACTTCATATTCTTTCATTAGGAGCCATTAGCAACCTCTATGCCAAATTTCTGTATCGAACAAATTTTTTTCTTCCGCAAATTGAGTTTACAAAATACTTTACAAAATTAAAAGACGCCTGTGAGCTGGGTAAGTTTACAAAAGTTTGTAAACTGATTTTCCTTGACAATTTTTGTAAAAGTTTGTAAACGTTTGTAAGTTTACGGATTTTACGCTGTTTACGTAGTTACGAAGGAGGGCGTGAATTGCCTCAATAAATATATGTATGGTTGTGGTAAAATGATTTTTTTTCTTCAAAACTAGAGGGTAAAAAAGCTTATAAATCATAAATCCTCCCCAAATTATTCACGTGCTACCTTTATATGAGTACTGACTTACAGATCTTTGCCGAAAATTCGTCCTCCGTAAAGAATTCGCCATTCTGAGGGGTCGTTTCCGAGTAAAATTTTACATGATTGGCCAGTTGAAAATTTCCGGCATCATTGCGGTGACATCCATATCCAAACCGGGTAACAGAGGTGCGCCGTAGTTTCCCGTAAACTAAGCGTCCTTTGGCGTCTCGTTTGTTAAAGATGCATTCGCGAAATTTGTCATAATCGTGCCCCAAATCGGCCGAGGTCAAGCATTGATTGGTATAAAGGGCCACAACAACTACTCGGTTACTTATATGTTGGACATGAACGACATTGTCGAGGCCATCCGGGTCCAGGGATTCTCTGGGAACGCACAAATTATGTAAATTTGTTGGCTGGACGGGGATACATTACACTCAATAATTGTTGATACGATTATTAAACCAGTATTAAACCAGATTATTATTTATTTACCGGCGGAGTTACTATGAAATCGGTAATAACTTGCCATCTATACCTAAGGGTAACGTATGTACATATGTACAGAGACTAAATCCTGCTCAGCGCCCAATGTCAGAGGTGTGGTAAGTATTAAAAATTTTACCGACACAACTGAAGGCAATTTTTTACCCTCAGAAGACAACCTGTTACCAATAAAGTGGTATTGCATAGTATCCCCATCGGTAATAATCTGATCAACTACTGAGTGTACATACGTGGCTGCCGCAATACAAAAATAATTCCGCAACGAAAAATTCCGTTTAGTAATGTTGTAATTATGAAACAAACTACTACCAATCCGGTAGTAGGAAATTATTACCAAGTCAATACAAGCACGGAGTGTATATACATATATTTATTAAATCTGTCATATTTCCAATAGTGTAATTAACTATTTAATTATTTATATCCACCAACCTCGAAAAGAGCAGCGCCATGGCGACAATTAACCGAAGGATTTCGTTGATTCCGATAATCACGGCGAAAACCGGCCAAAGTACAATTATTCCAAACATTTGGGATCCAAATCGAATTTGTTTAAACATTTTAATCCAAAAAAGGAGATATAACGCAAAACGAAACAGGACGATTAAGTAAGAAGGAAAAACTGAAAGAACAAAATTATGTACGCGACATGGCGTAAAAAGATATTTTTACACACTCTAAACAATCTTGCAAGAATAATTAACAAAAAAAGAATAAATATACATGTCGCGATTTACCCCCCATGGTAATCAATAGCTTCTTTCCAGACTGGTAAATACTACTTCTGTGAAGGAAATGCATAAAAATTGGTAATAAGTTTACTACCGATTAGGTGACAAATTTCTTATATCCACATTATTTCACAAGGGTGACATTAAAATTAAGGGTGAACATCTACGTATAGAGTATGTACACTCTTAAAAACCCGGTGTTAATCGTCACCAAACGATGTGCATATGTGACTTTACCAAATGGTGATAATGTTTTTCACCGCTTAGTGATAAATCTTGCCCGCTGGCTGGTGTTAATTTCACCACCATTATGTGAGACAGATTATTACTGCATGGTAAAGTCACATATACCTACCGTTTGGTGACCATTAACACCTGGTTTTTAAGAGTGTTTGAATGTAAATACATACACAAACAACATGTACATACGTAGGTGCACCTTACCAGTTGCGATGATCAGCTTCCTTATGCAAATGGTTGGTTATCAAGGCTACACGTGTTTAAATTACCATCTCTCAGCACGTTGCATAAGTATTTATGTAACTTTGTAAAAAAATTAAGGATCGTAATCACCTTCACCTTGACGGAGGAGTCATGTGGCACCACAATTGGAGCAATGTTACCTTTTGGACCAATGTCATCCTCCTTTTTTAGACAACCTTGCGCAAAATTTTTCTTCCTTTAATTTAGAGTGAATTTACATAAGGACACGTGTATCTTTGTGTAGTATATTATTAAATTCCAGTTACAAGGGGACGTGCATATGTTACGTCATAGAAAGAACTATTGATCCACCTACTCCTTCCCTATCCTACCAGAGGTCAACGCCGCCGATCGTACGCCGCCGAACGCCGGCAGTATTTTACGCGCCGACGCCGCAGAAAAACTTAAGTTCCTATTCCTTTTAAATTGCGACTCCGCGCCGCCGACGGCGCCGAAAAATGACCAAAAACTAGCGCCGCCGCCGCCGAAAATTTGTCGCCGTCGACCTCTGTATCCTACCCACATGTGTAAATATGTAGAACATATAGGGTGTCCAAAATCGGAAGATTTTATAAAACTGCATTCAAAACAACATCGTCGAAATTTCGCCACCAGGCGCTGTCTATATAAATATGACCACACCGATTTGGTAAAAATTTTCTACCAGATAGTAAGAAAAAAAATTCACTCCGCGGTAGTATTAAACTCTTATAACTTTCTGCCGCCAGCGATTGGGAAAATATTTTTTTGCATTAAGGAGGAATACGTACGACCTTTTCAATGCCAGATCTTGATGCCCTTTGGATATGTTATAGGTCTATACGAGTGTAGAAAAAGTGAAGGAGGGTTAAGGTCCATGGGCCCTAGTTCACCAGCCACACCTCTTTGAAGGGGCTCCCAATGCCAAACTAGCCGCACTAAAAATTTCGCCAAAAATCCAATTTTGCTCGGATTTCCATAATATTTACATATTCTTGATCCTAGATAGTTGCTTTATCATATCCAACATCAAATTCGACCCTTTTCAAATTTTTGAAATTTTTGAAAATCTTCTGATTAGGGGTATGTATCGAAAAAGTGTGAAATTTCAAAAAAGGGGTGTGGCTGGTGAACTAGGGCCCATGAACCTTAACCCTCCTTCACTTTTTCTACACTCGTATAGACCTACAACATATCCAAAGGGAATCAAGATCTGGCATTGAAAAGGTCGTACGTACTCCTCCTAAGTAATATTTTAGGAAAGGCACATGGCAAACCTTTCCCAATCTGTAGCGGCAGATGTGTAAATTGGGTTTCAAAATTGCATTTAAACTTGTTTTTTCAGAATTTTGAAGGTCTGGAAGCATCATGTGCAACGAATTTGCGTAAAAGGTCTTTGTAAATTACGACTACCAAACCAAAAATTACAGTTTTTAAGAATTTTGGTCAGTTTTGAATTTTTGTCAAACGGGAGTATTCCGTAAACTTTCAGAATAAATTTATGCGAGGAAACACGTCAAACTTAAATTTGTGTGTCCTCTCATCATGATTTTGTTATAAAATTATTGGCAATTTCATGTCCGACTCGATCGATTTGATACTTTCACTTGGAATAAGCCAAACATTAACGGGGCGTTATAGCATGCTCTGCCCCGCTCTATCAGCCAATAAAGTCTCTCGCTCAATATCTTCCCCCGTATCTTCCCCATGCATTATAGAATTTTGACCATATCCGTTGCTATTACAAGCTTGAACGTGCACTTATAAATGTGGAATTTTTTGAATTACAATTAGTATTAGTTGTGCAACAAATGACTATCGGGCTTTAAGGAATAAATATAATAGTTTAATTTATATTAATTAATTTACATCATACTTTTTTCGTTTGAAGATTCTTTGATTAATACTAAAAAAACTATTATATTTATTCCTTAAAGCCCGATAGTCATTTGTTGCACAACTAATACTAATTGTAATTTAAAAAATTCCACATTTATAAGTGCACGTTCAAGCTCGTAATAGCAACGCATATGGTCAGAATTATGCCACTTTTCCTGATTCGTCTCATCTCGTCATAGAGTATGTGTGGTGGCAACGTCCCACCACACACACTCTTCCCACTGGAAACCACTAAAAACATAAACAACTCCAGATGATATTTGCAGTTTTTTGCAAAAAATTTAAAATTCCCACCGAAACTTGCGAACTTTTTACCCCACCGAGTTCATCAGTTTCGCCACTATGTGATTTATGAGGATTGGTTTAACATAAAATATAGTTATATACTCTTAAGTATTAGCTACATATATAAAAAAAGTTTGTTTTATTAAAATTCAAAAACTGATTGTTTCCGTTTAATCGAAAACCGACCGTTTTACAAGTTAGAAGAACCCGGTTTTCGATGCCGTAGGTAGGCCACCCATAATCAAAGATTCACCTTTTTGATGACGTAACATATGGACGTTCCCTAATCGTCGTCTTGTTGAGAAAATAACTTTAGTAAAACCTGTTCTACACATTATACGAACTCATGTAGGATGGATCCTTCAAAGTTAAAAAAAAACATCGATACAAGTTTATTCACATAGTTTTCCTGCGAAGCAGACATACATATTTACCTAATTACCTTGATAGCTTTTATGTAATCTCGCTCATTAACGAAAGAGACAAACAAAATCACAACCTTAGGATGAGTGGTTGTCCCATAAAAAAAGTGTATATGTGGCTGTCCCCATGAAAAAGGGATCTACCTTATTCATATTTTCTACACAAAAGGCAAACTACCAAAACAGAACACTTTCAGCGAAACCTATTTCGTCAAAAAGCTGAATTGGCGAAAGAAACAGTAATGTTAAGCATTCCACCTCAAATTTAAAACTTAAGGTTGCACAGGCTTGCTTTATCTAATAAAAATAAAAAATTGCGCCTTGACCTTTTTCAGGACCTTAACGTGCCCTAGACACTTAACCTCGGGCGATAAACCTCAAATTTAAAACTTAAGGTCATTCAGGCTTGTATTGGCCTATGCAAATCTAATCTTATGAGCTACAATATTAAATTTTAAAACACTAGCGTATAAGCCCGTCTCCCGCCGGGCGAGCGAGAATTATAAGCTGCAAATGTCTGTCGGCAACGAAGTAAAACCAAATGTTCCGCAACGGAAGTGAGAGTGGAGAAAGTTAAGTTTCGAATAGCGCGAAAATTCAAAATGAATTTAATGTCACATAGTAGTTATCTTGAGCTAGTTGTCTAACCCTGGTTGTCTTGGCTATATATCTACGTGGTTGTCTAATGGCAGTTATCTGAAAGTGGTTGTCTAGTAGTGGTCATCTTCATCACTGCGAAATGCCATTGAAGTGAAGTGGAGGTCAGTCACGGCCATCACGGGTATACATAACTGGTTACTTCGTTGCGAAGTACAGTGGTTAACCAGTGACTGACTTTACTGTACTTAAAGTAACATGACACATGACCAATCCCACTGACTTCCACTTTACTTTAGTTTTACTTTACTTTCAACTAAAGTGGCTAATCCTGCATACCGTAACTGACTTCCACTTCACTTTAGTTTTACTTTACTTTCAACTAAAGTGGCTAATCCTGCATACCGTAACTGACTTCCACTTCACTTTAGTTTTACTTTACTTTCAACTAAAGTGGCCAATCCTGCATACCGTAACTGACTTAGTGGCCAATCCGGCATACCGTAACTGACATAGTGGCCAATCCTGCATACCGTAACTGACTTCCACTTCACTTTAGTTTTACTTTATTTTCAACTAAAGTGGCCAATCCTGCATACCGTAACTGACTTCCACTTCACTTTAGTTTTACTTTACTTTCAACTAAAGTGGCCAATCCTGCATACCGTAACTGACTTCCACTTCACTTTAGTTTTACTTTACTTTCAACTAAAGTGGTCACGACAACCAATATATCAACTATTAGATAAGCACCCATGATAACCATCCTAGATAACCACCATCGGATAACCCCCCCAGATAACCACCATCAGATAACCCCCCCCCCCAGATAAAAACCATCGGATAACCCCCCCAGATAACCACCATCGGATAACCCCCCAGATAACCACCATCAGTTAACCCCCCCAGATAAAAACCATCGGATAACCCCCCCAGATAACCACCATCGGATAACCCCCCAGACAACCACCATCGGATAACCCCCCACTAAAAAACCATCTGATAACCACCCCAGATAACCACCATCGGATAACCCCCCCAGATAACCACCATCAGATAACCACCATCAGGCTACCACTCCCAGATAACCATCAGACAACCACTCCCAGATAACCATCAGACAACCACTCCCAGATAACCACCGTCAGACAACCACTCCCAGATAACCACCGTCAGAGAACCACTCCCAGATAACCCCCATCAGACAACCACTCCCAGATAACCATCAGACCGCAACTTCCAGATAACCACCATCAGACCACCACCCCAGATAAGCACCATCAGACAACCACTCCAAGATAACCATTAGACATTTAACTTTTATAAATTTAATTTATTTTGAATTTTCGCGCCATTCGAAACTTGACTTTCTCCACTTTCACTTCCGTTGCGGAACATTTACTTTCACTTCCGTTGCAGACAAACATTTCCAGCTTATAATATAGATTGTTCGAAATTTAATCAGCATGAAAATTTTCGCCAAAAGGTCGTTTTGCCATATTGTCGATGAAGCACTTTGAATTTAAATAACTTTACTTGGAGTTGACAGATTGAGCTGAAATAAATGGAGAATTTTCCTAACAAATTAAAGTCGCTAAAGTATGTATATATCTATTTGGTGAAGAAGGTCCCTTTTCATGGAGACAGTCACAATATGTTAATATTTTGGAGGATACATATGTACATGTATGTGTATAGCTTGTAGGCTGGTAATTTGGCAGTATAACTGACGAGTTTATCTTGAAAAGCGGTCAGTTTGTGTGTATTTGTAGCCTAGCATCAAACAAAAATTATGGGAGGTTATAATTTCTACTTTTTTTGGCTGTAGACACAAGTTTGAAGTACATTTAAATATTCAGTGACATTTACGGGAATATTTGCATACCCACTTTGACTGCGGTAAGTTTTGCTTACTCCAAGTAAGACCTAGTAGGCAGGACGAGTTTTTTATGTGAAAAAGATTATGCAATAATTTGCGCTTTAGATATTTGAAGAAATCTTCACATTTGAAGAATGTTGTAGTTAAATTCAAATAATTGCAGGGGAGGAGTACACAGAAAGAAGTTTGGCGCAAAATCCGGATTGAGTACCAGGCTTAAGGGAAGGGTCAATCGATCATTAAATGTAGGTTTTATTACGTATAATATTGTATCGCAGTGTATCCATTATTATCGATCATTTTAATATACATATGTATCTTGGCGCAGTTGCTCTTTTGAACCACATTTTCCAATACGGCCACGAATTTAATTTAATAATTGGATTACACGAAGTTTTGTGGAAAAAATCAACCTTTGAGTCAAATAACCTAAATAAATTATTGTGTTCACGGTTTAATTTACATATGTAAGCTGGTTATTTAAAATTATTTTATGCATCTAGATGTTGCAGATGTGTACGGGCGAATTGGCAAAATGTGTTCGACTAAAATCGACTAAACTATAATAGTTTAACTAGGGTGCGGTCGGAAAGTAAAGAAACATTTGAAAAATGCTTGTAAAATCCGGAAAACTTAATTAATTCCAATGAAACTTTTAAGGGTTAAGAACAAGGTCCTTATCGTTCAATTTTTTGCTTCATATGGTCCATAGACCCCCATCCTTCTGGCGAATTATTTGCCTCGCGGTCCCCAAAAGTGCTTTGCCACTCTTTCTCGCTACCACTTTTGAGGTGTATGTCCAAATGTGACAGAATCTTCCCAACTTTTTGGGTGGTTTTGTTCGACGACTATATTCTCTCTTGCATAATGCCCACAATCTTTTAACTGATCTTGCCCGAGGGACGCAGGGAGCATATTCCTTTTTTGCAACAAAATCGATTTTTTTCGACCGCAACAAGTCCAGAACAACTTTTTAATAACGAAATGTTGCTGTGTCCGGTCAGAAAAGTACATTACGATTATTGATAAAGGGGATCAAGATCTACTTTACACAATCGTTCAGATATCTCTCCGAGGTCATGGTGGCTGTGGTCACGGACGGCTTTGAGACGTCCCCCAATGAGTCCAATGCTTGCCCGATTATGTGCTTTATGGGGAATTTTGACTTCGGCGTGTATTTGAAGGAATCTTTAAACGTTTTCTTATTAGTACATGAGTAGTACTTCCTCCCAGGGACTTCATCTGGATCATTCGAGCAATTGGTCTCATCATTCATGACCAGAATCACGGGCATGTTTTGCTTGACTCGTTTTTCAGCAATCTGCCGAGAGTTGGGCTTTGCTCTTTTTTGCTGATCTTGGTTGTACTTTGGTGCAGGTGTCGCCCTATAGGATTTGACCCCCAACTTCGTAGGTTTAATGTCATGTAAACTTAGTTTTGATATTTTCAATTTGTAGCCCAAATTAATATCTGATATCCCAAGGGTATTTTTGTTTTCCTTCTGAACTCTACGTGTCACTTTGGGGGTCGCTACGCGAGCAGGACGATTTTTTAATTTTTTGAATTCAGCATTCCTCCTCCCCTCATACAGATCTAAAACTCTTCAAATTGCTCCATTATGAATTTTTTCTTTTTCGAAGTGGCTATTAACCATTATCTGGACGCGCTCGCACACTTTTTCGTAGTAGTGGCAAATTTTTTTGCGAGTTCCTCTGAATTTTTTGTTCTCATTTTTGAACTAATCGAGATATCGACTTCCGGTTTTCTGATTTGGATAGTCAATCGCATGGACTACAACACTACCGCGTTCGAACTCAGTGACAATTTTTCTTTCAGACAAATAAATATACTTTTTCAAGTGTTTCTTTACTTTCCTACCGAATCCTATTCGACTAAACTATTCGACTAAAATTGTAAAATATATTTGAATGATAATAACGGTTAGTAAATCCCCTATTTCGTGGCAACTGCAATTATTTTGGAAAATTCAACATCTTTTGAAAACTGGGCTTCGTAATTAAGACAAGTACTAGTTCAAAATAAATTTGTGAATTATTTCTTGTCCTGGTAAACCAATTTTGGCCAAGTATCAGGCAAAACTTGAATTTTTCACAATGAAGTACTTTCTAAAAATTTGATCTTTATCTCGAAAGCTGCCTGTGCCCACTCATGTGGGTTTAAATTTTGATTAAAGTCCTGTTTACGAATTGTTTCAAATATTTATCTGAAATAAATATGAGTCTGAATATATATATACATTTGCTATTCCTATATAAAAATCTCAGCAGGTTTTCTGCAGAAATTTAGACCAATTTGTTGCAGCAAATCAGTGGGCAAACCGTCATTTGCGAATTATGAAAAATGGTGCACATGCAGTTCTGCAGAAATTAACCCAACCTACATTTTCAACAGAATCATAGCAGGCGTGATTGTGGAAATACGAAATTTTAAAGATTTCCCTATGCAATTTTTGTACTTGTTAGGGAAATAATGGTTTATTGGTGTGATAAAGCCACTAACAATATAAATTGCACTGACTATTTATATATGTTTTCCTTGTATTGCAGATGGAGCTTGACATAGACAACGCGCCAAGTTGCAGTTTTGGCAGAAAGGTCGATATCGGGGGAAATTCAATTATCCAGTTATTTGAAGCTCAGGTGATAAAGTCACCCCATGCTATTGCCATATCAGGAGACGGATGCCAGAAAATTTCCTATGAGAAGCTGAATCACATGGCGTCTAAGGTGCAGAATATAATTACAAGAAAGATTTTCCCCGACGACTACTTTGTCGTTAGGTTGCTCCCAGCTTCGGTCGATTTCCTTGTTTGTCAACTCGCTATACTAAAATCGGGATTAACCCATGCACCACTGGATCCTGGAAATTTACTTACCACCTTGATAAAAAATATAGCCTCGTTGCCAAAACCACTCGTCATAACTCGGAAAAATCTGGCCTTCCATTTTACAATTCCTGACAACGCAAGCGTCCTATACTTAGACGATGTCGAATGTGATGAAGCCGAAGGTCAGATTGAATTGCGGTTACCCGGGATCATTACTACTTCTATTGGGTATTCACCTTTGTTCTTTTTTACATCCGGGTCCACTGGAGAACCGAAGGGGGTGCATGTTCGAAATTCCTCCCTCCTCAACGTAGTTAACGTAGCCTGTGAAACGTACAGTCTTCACGACAATGTGGAAAGGTGTATATTCTTTTTTAGTACTGGATTTGATATGGCATTCTATCAAACATGGCCATTTCTTACGACCGGGGGAACCATTGTAATCCCTCCAGCTTCTTTAAGGACAGATATGGTAGGCTTGCACAAATTTCTGCAGACCGAGTCCATCACAGTCGCCATTTTTCCGGCCTTGGTTGCGTTCAGTCTGGTTCAGTCTCTGGAACAATTTAGTACCCTTTTTGTCCGATACCTCTCAAGATATCACCAAATGTGACCAACAAAGTTCACCAACGTATTTACGAGACGAGGTTGAAGCTGAATTCGTAAATATTTCATCTGCCTTTGAACCAATAAAGATGCCTGGCGGGCCAAACATTGGCATTCTGATTACAGGAGCGCCCGGTACCTTAGCCATGTACCTCCTACGGGAACTAATTTTATCAAATAAAGCCAAGAACACGACGTACATATTCTGTCTGTTAAGAACATGCGACGGATCTGATATCACCGCTGAAACCAGATTATCCCACAAATGGGAAGAATTATTCAAATCATCCCTTTCCGAATTTGTCAAAAATAGTAGTTTCATAACCATAACCGCAATTTCTGGCGACGTATCCCAATCCATGTTAGGGCTGCAGGATCCCGCAACTTATAAACAAATAGTGTCACGAGTCCGAATAATATTCCACTGTGCCGCGGATGTCCACATGTTTAGAAACTATGCCGCCATGAAAATCTCTAACGTTAGGGGAGCACGCAACATCATTCAATTTGCTCTAGAGTCAAATCCCAGAAAGAAAATTAACTATATCTCCACCGCCGCGGTGTGTGAAGACTATAATTCTCCCCTAAGGGCGAGTCCCCTCCACGGAAATGGTCCGTATTCACGCGAAGGGTACAGCCAGAGCAAATGGGTGGCGGAAAATTTGGTATGGAAAGCTTCCCAGGCATTTAACCTGAACGTCTCCATCTTTCGGTGCGGCTTTATCTACGGCGGGCAAACCGGTGTCAACATGAACACCAAGAAAACAGGTGGCACCACCGCAGTCACTCACATCATGTCCATCATTTACCGGCTCTGCTTCAGGCTTAACTCTTACCCGGTCGAAATGCTGGATCCACTAGTTATAAAAGAAGGTCACGCGGTCAAACACATTGCAACCGTTGGGGTATCCACTACTGACGAGTATGGAACGTTTCATCATTTAGGAGGCAAACTGCACGGAGTTATTGAAATTTTGCGGAATAAGTTTGCCTTGAGAGGGATCCCATTTAAAGATTGGTTCGCCCTGTTGCTGAAAAAATTTGATGAGGATCCTGAAGACATGGACATTTTTCTAGGAAAGGAATGGTTTTCACGGATACGTCAATATGTTAAGGATTCCGGGCAGGATGCCCTTTTTCATTTCAAGCTGGAACTAGAAAAAACACCTGTGATTGGCGGGATTGAAGATGAAATTGGTCCGAACTATGATGCGGAAGAGTATTTGATCTCCGTTACAAGATAGGGTTGAAGATTGAAGCGAATATGTCCAGAAAATATTACATAACTGTCCTGTTGCTGATTTTACGGGTGTACTGTATTATTAATTTTTTTTTAATTTCATGGAAAATAATTCTCGCAATTATCATTTTCTAACAGAAGTATTGCGGGGGAGTTGTGTGTCTCCCTTACTTGGGTAGGGAGAGAGAGACTTCTCTTATTATATGCATAATAAGTCCAATTTGATCAACCGTTTAACTACTTCTATTTTATTCACACAAGTTCAGTCAATACACACATTCATACAAATTAACTAACTAACTAAACTTAACTAACCGAACTAATCTACGAAGAGAGACTGGATCTTGTGAAGCCTTGGGGTCCAGGATCGTCGGTGTGACGCTGAGATTCTTTTTACCCTGCATATAAAATACTACCCAATGACCCAACAAAAGAAATAGAACAATCAATCCAACAAAAACTACATAAGTTGCATAATATGAATAGAATTGACAAACACACATACGATAACCTTGCACCAAAGCATTCTTCCGCTCCTATATTTTATGGTTTACCTAAAATACATACCTACTTAATTAAAAGAGAAAATATGTCGTACGTTAAACACTTAAAGTAAGTAAAAAAAAATATGAAAACGAAATAAAATTATGAAATAAAGGCTTTTCATATCCCGAGCCGGAAATTAATTTTACATAAAGTTGTCATTCTTACCAAGTTATCCGACCATTTGCAGAAAAACACTATGGATATGTCGCACATAATCTTTACCATATTTAGCACTAACTTTTGCTACTACCCTTTGTCATTAGCAGAGTCCGGTAAAATATGTTCTTAAAAACCCAGAAATATTTATGTAAAATGTTCAATCAAATCGTCAAAATTTGATTATAAAACATATTTTTCATTCGCTTTAATTTGCCCCAAATTTAGCTTGTTTGACTGCAGAAATACCAAAAAATGCTTTTACATTTCAAAGTGACAAACTAAAAACATTTCAACATGCTCTGGTATTATTTCTACGATGATCGGAATTTTTTATGAATGGTGAATTTCTGAGGTTTCTCTAAAAGAATATATTTTTTTCGAAAAAATCGCTGAAATATGTAAAAACAAATTTATGTATATTGAAAATAATATATATTTCTGAAAAAATCGCCGAAATATGTAAAAACATGTTTATGTATACCAAAAAATGCACATTTTCGGCAAAATCGTAGAAATATGTTAAAACATACCTAGTTGTATAGGCTCAAGTGTCACCAGCTGATTTCACGAAAAGTACCGGTCAGAATTAAAAACGGATACGTACATTGGAAAGCCCATGCGATTTCGATTCCGAATCACTTTTCCATTTCAAATTATTCGAAAAAATGACCCAAATAGAAAACTTTGAAATGAGGATGTCGGCGATTTTTTGCTCAACTTCGAGAATGATGAAAAATCCTTCAATTGAAAAATCTTTAAAATAGCTTAAACTCAAGTCTGACGTAGCCAAGTGTATACTTAAAATGTGAGTAGAACCTTGGGCTACAACATAACGTAAACCACACCCATCTAAAAAATCTTACATTGCCCCAAAATCTTTCAAAGCCAGTACCTGGCAAATGCACGATATATTTGTTAAAAGTGACCCCAGAGACCCGGAGCGTCAAAACAAAAAATCATTATGCAGCGCATAAATAACCTTGTGGTCAGGGTTTTGAAATGTGGTAACCATCATACGCTTACTACTTCTCAAAATTGAGAAAGATTAAAAACCCTAAAATTTTTCTTGTGCGGTACGCGAAATTTGTTTTCTTCGGAAGACAGTTTTCCAATTAAGATCTTTCTTACTTTTAACGTATATTATAACCTCAATCAAGTTCCCTATGCGCTCCATATATGTGAGTTGCTTATCAAAAAATAAAATCCTCAAAAATGTCATCCCTGGATTTGCATGGGGCAAGTTAGTCCAAAAAGGGGAAAAATTCCCCTTTTCTACAGAAATCAGCAACCAAAGCCAACTATGACGCGGAAGTTGGCCTCTTATATGGTGTAGAATCCGGGATACATGTACTACTCAAAAATAATGGTAGGACCTTTTAAGCGGTGCTTGTTCCAAAATATGATGCAAAAGTTGTCAAAAAGGGGTTTTTTCTCATTTTTGTGACTTTCACACACCGCATTGATATGACCACAACAAACAGACCACACCCCTTTCAGAAACGACTAAGGGCTTAAATTAAAGATAATTGCATGGTCTAAATCCCCCGAAATAATAAATGTTAAAAAAAATGATTACTCACATTCCTGAACATTTTTTCATGAAAACTAGTGCGTACTTTTGGCAGGGTCTGTTTGTCTCTTTTTTAGTTTGCCATTTTTACATAGGATATTCATTTTGATGATTGAGCATTGTTTCTGGATTAGAATTTCATTGGCTTTCCAATGAAGGAAACCAGAAATTGATACATCGAAAATTACAAGATTTACAGCGTATTGCATCACTGACACTTGAGCCTATACAACTAAGTATTTATATTTACCAAAACCTGGAAATATGTAAAACATGTGAAAACATTTTTTTGACTGTGTTACCTATGCCTGACAAGGAACAATATCCCAAAGGTTCAACCCGATCGGGTTATTATTGAAAAAGTTTAAAATACATACATAGCCGGACTCTGGTCATTAGTACAGGGTCACAGATCCTATTTGCACAGTGAGAAAAACTGACCAAACTCATGGGCGGATAAGGTTTTTTGTACTTTCGCAATTTTACTCTCAAAACGTAGTTCTTTGGGGTGAATTTGACGTTTGGTTGACAAACATCGGTCAACAAATGCCAAAGAAATCGACATCCGAAGTCGACCATCTCCTTCCGCATTTTTCCGAAGGAAAATTGTCACGTGGGAAAATTGTGGAGAAGTAGAACATATCCGGATGCAATGTTGCTCGTTCTTCAACATATCGTGAAATTAGTTCCGCTTTAATTAGATCAATATCTAAATTAGCGGGACTGGCATCCCCAATAAAGTTGCAGCCCCCAAAAAAGTTTTCGCGTACCGTTTTTCGAAAAATCGACGCCCTGACAAGGTGAGAAAATCTTTTGACCCAAACTCAAATTGGAAAAGTTGTTAAAATATGGCAGCTGCATGTGAGTAGCGTCATCAACAACAAACTTTAAAAACAGGTCAGAAAAAGGCCAAAGTTCACGCGAAAACAAACTTCACAACGAAAATTTCTGGGAAAACGACCCAGTATGCAGCCGAGTAAAAACAAAAGCTAGGGATTTCAATTGTTCCTAACTCTCAGATACCTATGACAAATCCTTATGCCACTCCTTTAGATTTTTAATGGGTTTAAACTATTAAAACCATAGCTTCTTCTAAGACGAGCTCCAGTTTTTTTTGGTGTTTCGGAAAAACCTTCAGGAGGAGTTGAAGAAGATTGCTGTCCAAAATATAGGAAAACTAATGAATTCGTGAAAACGGCGATATAGGCTGGCTAGCCAAAGGTCTGAGGAACGTATTGAATAATCGAAACAAATTCATTGAAGCCGAGTGAAGGTTTGAGGTCAATTTTAAAACCTGTGCAAATACGATCTGTGATCCTCAGTAGCTACCAAATTAGTATGTACAATCCGAGTATTCACCTGAACTCCTGGAACAGGTCGGCATTTCTGTTGTTGAATTATGTTTAAAATTAAGTAACATGATGAAATTGTCTTAACAATTTCATTATAAACAATGTAGTCATAATTACATTCATGTATTTACTTTACAAACAGACAAATGTTTGGAATTCATGCGTCAGGTTTATTATTTACTAACGGAAGACAAAAATTGTCATTTACGACATATGTACATTAATAAATTTACTAACAATGTCAATGAATACTTCAAAGAATATTGTAGAGTTATAATTCAAACATTCATACATTTATTTAGGGTATGTATGTTCCAAATTTCAAGTCAATGTGTTAAACCGTTCTTGAGTTATCGGGCGGACAGACGGACACACAGACGGACAGCCATATCAATCTTATAAAGGGGTTTAAATGGGTTGGCTTATGTTCATGAAAATTTGAGCGAACTAATCGTATCCAGGTTCAGATTCAGTTAACATTTTTGAGTTATATTCGCCAGTAGCAGCACTGTTGCTCACATTTCCTATAGTTCCGAACAGATCAGATAATCGTGTATCTGATCTGAAATCTGTGAGCATTCATTGGGAGACCTGTATTGTTAGTGAACAAATAACCAATGTGTAAGGAAATTACCCACGCGGAGTGAGCATAATCACTAGACTATTGAATATTCAGCCAAGATGGAAGGGGTGACAAGTGTTTACAAAGTTCACCATGGTTCAAGGAATAACAAAAAAACGAAACTTGGCCAAGCTTCCAATTAACTTGGGACTACTGGCAATATTCAAATTTGTATGTCGATCTCCATTGTTGTCATCGTTAGAGTGCATTAATCTTATCGAGGTTCAATGAAATTAATTAAGTAAAACTTGTTAATTACCCTTGTTAATTACATAATTATTCAATGGAATTGCATACATACATGGATACACAAATTGGCAGTTTTCCTTTGCTCATAAATATTGATTATTCTGGTTACTAATTCCCAGATGGATTTGTACATCCTGAGGTGCTCGTACATATGCAGGGATGCCCCGGGTCGTGGTAATACTCGGTGCCCATGTTTGCCGGGTATCCGGTCGGATTTTCATGTTAACAAGTTACTATACATCAATAGGTCAAAGGGAGTTCTATTTTTTCGAAAGTTTTCAAAAATATGTGAGTTTAAACAGATTGTAAGGTACAAAAGTTGATGGATATTACACTGACGAAAAAAAACTATATAGCACATCTTCTCTAATATGAAGCACGAACATGAAATCCGTTGGATTTTGGAAAGTTTGCTATTTTAAGGAAGAAGGTTATAACTGTAAATTACACACCTGATTGATTTTTTGATTTATTCGTTTTTAATGATATGACAAACCCCATTTCTGGATTGTTCAAGTTGTTATATCCCAATGTAAAAACTCGTGATTAAAATAGAAAGTAAAACATTTCATTTGGGAGAGCGACTCATAATTGTTTATAGTATAAAATAATTCCACCATTCAAACGATACTTTTTCTAATTTATAAACTACAAGTTTACCCGATTTTTGAATTAAATTATACTTTATGTACTAATTCAGTGCCACCTTAGACGTCAATACTGAAATGTTTTTTTCATAATTCGTTACATATATCAGTAATCAGGGTTTCGTTTTTCCTGTCCAAATCCGCATTAAATGTCTATAATGGTTATGCTGGATCGGTGTCACACATACATAGTATACCTGGTTAGACCAACAGGTACAAATTATAAAACCAAAAGGATTCATATTCTGAATAAAAGTCTTGATGCATTAACTTACTCATATATCCGAACGGTGAACAAGGATGGGGAGCTGATTTGGCATTGCATAAACTAAATTCTGTAAGTTCCATTCCAAATTCGAGAAAACGAGTAACAATGAAATGTATTACTCATAGCTGTTTTCAGTTGGAGGCGCATTTAGTCCGATCCCCTGTGCAGGAAGCTTGACACGAGTTAGAAAACAATAAAGTTATTCTCATTTATACATCCACCATGTCCGTAAATAATAATTCTTTCTATAAATTTATTAAAAATTGAGCTCGTCCGTTTTAATTAACTTCAATCGACACAAAAAAGTCCTTAACAGCCACTTTCAGGCTTTTCTCCACAGCCACTGTATTTCAAACTTGCAACTATTTGCTCATCTAGCCACTCCAGATATGAGATCGAAGCGGAGATGATTGCAGAACTGCTGGGTAAACGGGGTACTTCAGAATACCCAGTCAAGTACGGATATGTCAAAAATAATGTGTCGAATGTGCAGGGTAACTCGTACCTCCACGGCGCCCGGGGCATCCCTAGTAATAAGCTGCTCAATACCAAAGTAATCTATTATACACACTCGCCACATGTTTGTCCTAGGCCATTTTGTCCATCGTCATTTAATTGTTGGTGGACATTGGCATGCTCACAGTTTGTTCATCATATCTGCGAAACAATTTAAATTTTGTGATATCCAAAGTAATTACACAGATTTATCTGTCATGGGTAAAATATCCGTTTTTGTGCTGGGATCAATTTCACTTATAATCAGGCGTTACGTCGAGCAATATAAGGAACAAGATTTACGAACTTCCTTGTCTGAACTCGAACCAGATTTGGGTTTGCCTCGGATTGACACGTATGATTTTATCATTGGTAAATCGAATACAGTGGCATTAAAATATTTACATGGATGTATCGTTCCAATTATTTAGTTCAAATATTGCAGAGTTTTCCACATTTTTTAAACATTTAAATAAATATGTATGTAGGTTATTATTTTATTTCTAGTTGGGGCAGGTACAGCGGGTTGTCTGTTGGCAGGCAGATTATCGGTATTTTTTAGGGTGCTTCTCTTAGAAACTGGTGGCCCTCCACCGACAACTGTGAACAATCCATACTTCTTTCGACAATATTTGGACGATCCATCAATAAATTACCTCTTTACAACAAGGCAGAAATACATATCTTTGGAGTCAGGTGGGGTAAGGGTTCTTTGTAAACTTACGAATATTTGATCTATGCCAATCTAGTATCTATGTATGTATAATAAATTGGAAAGCTTTGGCAGTTGAATTTTTAAATTTCCATCCAAAACGGGCTATCATTCATTACCCGTGTTTTGACAATTTTCTTAAGAATATATATTCCAAGTAATTTATTAATACAACCGTAGTAAATGAATAAAAAGATACTTGGTTAGGCTAAGTACATCTTCAAGTACATTTTACCTATTTCAATGTTCCACAATAAGGCATTTTTCATAATTAAGGATGGGTATCGAAAAAATACTCATGGTTTCAACGATTACCAAAATCAAGACGGGCCCCTACTTTTTGCCCACCCCTTCGCTGTGTATATAGATAGATCCGCAATTTGCGCCACTGACACATGTGTACGGAAGGAATTTCTATGTGTCCATTTGACCCTTGGGTTCTTGATATTTTAGATTTTTAACTTCTCCCAGGGGAGGATGATGGGCGGGAGTGGTTCGCACAACTACAACGGCTACGCCCGTGGCTCACCGCTGGATTATGATACATCTCGAGACATTGGGGTAAATAGGAAAATTTTCAAGTTGAAAATCCTGTCTAGTCCTGTGCGATTTCTAGAAACTATTAATGCATTTTTAAACCCTTATATGTCATCTACAAAAATCCTTGCCCCTTTTTGCCCCTTTTGAAAATAGACAAAGATATGTGAATTTATGCAAAAACAAATTGGCATATGCAAAATGTCTGTCTTTCTGCAATCATGACGTTGGGTAAAATTTCTATGTGCTCCAAATAACATAATAAGTAATTTAGAGATATCCCATTCACTCTCTTGGGCAAGGGAACACGGTAAAATAATTCCCCAATAAATTTATAATGAGGTAAACTGGTCCGAATCACCTGGTCTGGGTGCAAAAATCTATAATTCTAGAATAATTGAATTTTTTCGAGTTCTGCTTCTGGTGATTATTGTATGAGGTTCCAAAGGTGTATAGAATATGCAACTTTCATAGAAAGCCACGCCCTTTGGTGACTGTGGTCAAAGGCTAGTAATATTTTATTGCGTTACACCATCAAGTGGGGTGTCATTTGAAAGCTCTCGTCACTCCGAATAACCGTGAGATAGTGTGGGCACACCCAACTTCGACACATGTCGTCCTCACAGTGGGATACACATGTGTGGAAGATCCTCCTTCCAAAACCTGGGAAACTCAGGGATTGGCTGGTCCTTGTTTTGGCTGCACACTTAAAAATGTAATGCTAAAAGCTATGATATGCAATAGATTGAAATAATCGAGATCGGTTTGTGTCATCATACAGATGACCCCAAGGGGAGGATTCTACCAACTCTTGGGGTCGATTGGATCACCCCCACTCCCACTGGTGCCAGAGGGTGTGGTCGGGGCAAAATGAGATTTTTACTACAATCGAATCTATACGTGAAATAAAGTGAAATGAGGTAGTCCCTCGATGTCACGTGGGTGTGGTGAGGGGCAACATGAGATTTTATTGAAATTGAATTCATATACCCAACATGGTAAAGTTAAGTGTTCGCACACTGTTGATGGGATGAAGTGAGACAAAAAATCGATGGTTGATTTTGATTTTTTCGAAGGCATACCCCTGGTCAGGAAATTTTCGAAAATACTCAAAAAATTTAAAAAAAATTGAGTTTGCTGTTGGATATGATAAAGCAACTATCTAAGATCACAAAAACGCTTAAATTATGAAAATCCGATCAAAATTGGATTTTTGGTGATTTTTTGAATGAACGAAAACAGGGTATTTTTCGTGTTTTTCGCACCTTTGAGTGGGTGTGGCGGGCGCAAATGGGGCCATTGAATGAAATCCTCCTTCACTTTTGCTAGACTCACCTAGGACTACAACATATCCAAAGGGCATCAAGATCTGTGATTCTGTCGGTGAAGGGTTGTCCTCCTAAATAGGAATTGAGAAGAGCTTTTCAACGACACCCCACATGAGGGGAATAGTCATAAGACACATTTTGACCTTTGACCACACCCCCTGACCTCGGGAGTGGCTGTACCTGCTTGGCCTAAAATTACACTAAATAGGAATTGAGAAGAGCTTTTCAACGACACCCCACATGAGGGGAATAGTCATAAGACACATTTTGACCTTTGACCACACCCCCCAGGGGGTTTGTCGGGCATTACCCAAAACTCCACTTGACCATCATACGCCGACTCCCGTCAACAGAATTACGAAAGCTTCATTGGTTTTAAAGTTATGGGTTTTCAAAGAATATAGCAATCCGGACCAGTGTGCGTTAGGGTGGCTTCTGCTGCTTAATTTCTGAGTGTAAGCAGAAACCACCCTACATTTGTTGGCTGGTCTGCCCTACCTTACCTTACCTACCGTACATAATACTTATTTTATTTATTTCGAGCGCTATAAACAACGCGGAATAAAATTCGACAAGATAAAAACCCTGGCGATTGCCGGAACAATTTCACGATTTAAATTTTTTTTAAACTTTTGACACAGTCAATTTCAAAGTACTTTACGCAGCGGGAAGTAAATTCGACTAAAATGCTTTGAGTTGTTACTAAAATATTATGCAAGTTCCGGGCCAATATCCGTCACGACGGATGTAAACCCCGTGCTGGCAGTTTGGCTGGAAGCAGGCTTGGAATTGGGATACCCACACGCGGATCCGAATGGGTATAGGATTGAATGTGCGTTGACTTCTGCATTGCAAATCAGAGAGTGACCTTAGCAAATTGTTAAGCTTTTTTCGGGTTTAATCAATTATTCATATTATACGTTATGTACGAGGGGAGGGCGGAAAGTTTTCAGGTTGCTACCTGAGGAAACAAGAGGGTGACACAACAATTGGGTAATATTTATCCATCCGTTGTGTAAAATTTGTCTAACCTATTTAAAGCATACCAAAATGTTTGAGTAAAATGTGTCCAACGGTTGGATAAATTCTACTAACAATGGAGAGGTGTCAGGTGGTTATCGCCAATGCGGACCGGACCAATTTTAAACTGTTCAGGCCCAGAAATAAGCCTACCCGTATTTTTTCGTTTTCCAAAAATTATCGTTTTTTCATTTCTAAAAACTCAGAAATGGCATGAAAATAGTAAATTCGAAAAATTTTTTGAAAATGAATTTTTATATTTTCAGGGAAGTAATTCTGAACCAAATTGTATTCAATTTTTGAAATCGGGCTAAAATTCGAAAAGTTACAGCGTTTTTAAAAATCATGATTTTGGCTGAAATTTTTTTTGAAAATTCCGCCACGGGCGTAAATATGGCCATTCAGGAAAACGAAAAAATACGGGTGGGCTTATTTCTGGACCTGAACAGTTTAAAATTGGTCCGGTCCGCATTGGCGATAACCACTTGACACCTCCTCATTGTAAGTTGTGTCATCCTCGTTTTTACTCAGCTTTGAGTAAATTTTCCACGATTGTTATTCAAAGTGTTTCTTTGGTATTACAGTATTCTTCCATTACATGCTCTTCTGCTGTTTTTGGTCTAAACTATGAACTCAGATTTTGTCCCGGTTAACTAGTGTAAAAAATATTCAGGGTTGTTAGAATTTTCCATGGGCTTTTCCCTTCTAAATATTACTATTAAATACCCTAAGAGTCTGATAAAATAACCCTTCTTAGGGTGACACTGGACACCTTCCCCACACTCCACATAATCGATCAGATATTCAATTTTTGGTGCATTGTTATACTTTTAGCTTTCGCTCCATGTTCAATATCTACCAAAAACTCGGAGAGGTGTAGCTCATATCGTGCATTTATTGAGGGGAAGGAGCACAACAATCGTAACTTGAGAGTGCTGAGATACTCTCAAGTGCAAAAGGTAAATATAACATTATTACATTGTAACTAAAGGGTGTTGATTCAATTCTTCAACATTTTTCACCGCCACAAGAACATGCTTGTTTTGAAAAAGTGCTAGCTAGTATAGCTATCGTCAATATTTATCTAAGATGTATGTACCTTATTATTGGCCTTTCCACAATATTCTTCAATCATGCCCTCAACTCTTTGTTTTAGGCTGTGTGCTAATTTTCTACAACAGAAATTAGTTTCGAATTTTGCTTATCTAAAACATTTGTTATTAAGGCTCTGTACCAGTAATTCGCCAAGGTATTCAACTACCCTTACTACCCAAATTTCTTGGGACTGAAGCGTGATAGCATGTTTTGGAAAAATGTCGTTGGTGGTAAATTTATAAACATATTTTTTAATGAAAATATGATTATGAAAATATGCCACTGCCACCCAGTACCACCATCTTTGCGAAAAAATAAAACTGCCATTAATGTTTCAAAAATTTCAAAAGACGTTCACAATTTTTGGGGTAGTTCCACTTTCATAATTCTTGTTCATGGCGGTGGAGAATAGTGTGGCGCAGATGGTATAATGGGTCATAGATCCAGAAAAATGGTGGTCGACAGTTTTTCTTGCAGAAAACTTTGCACTGACCCAATTACGCTCTCTTCTTTTAAAAATAGTAAAATTTTGGAAGTGTTTTGGAGTCTCTCACTGATTAATCCACCTCGGCTATAGTGTTGACCACAACTTCTAATTCAAAATTTCGTGCCAAATACGCTAATACCGACAGGAACGTCTTTTGAAAAATTGCATCCGGCTAGTTGTCAGGTAGTATATAAGATTTATGTATTGAAAAAAAAACTCGAATTTTCGAATTTTGAAACTTTGAATTCATCAAAATATTGGTGTTCATAAGGTAATCCGAAGGTAAAAAGCAAGTTTAGGTCTAGTTCTTATTTATTTCTCATTCACTTTTGACTTATTAATTTTTCCAAATTTGCTTCCCCCATTATTCCAGGGGGAGGGGGGGAGGTTTCATATAATTTTAAAATTAATTGGGTAACTAAGGTCAAAAATATATTTGGGTGTTTAAAGTTGGTACAGAGCCTTAAACTCTTCGTTTTGTATAATTGTTTTCATTTGCACACTTTTTCTTTTATATGTACATCAGATTATCAAGGGAATAAATAGCCAGATTTTTTTCATGCCGCTACAATTTCCTAGACCTTGGTGGAACACGATGTACTATTACTATCATAGTGGATTCTTCGATGTAGCATTGTCCTGCTTGAGAATAATTTTTATCTCAATTGGCAATAATTCCTGGTCCACTGAGGTGTCAAACTAAATAGGTTACATTTTGTGCATATATTCAGATTCGTCCATGGCTTCTCATTTTAATAAAATATTTAGAGGTATCAGGCCCGTGGATTCTCTTTGTATGGGCAGATTATTTCATCTTTTTTACTGTCAAGTATCAAAACTCGCAATTTAGTTTTAACAAATTGCTACCATATGCCATCCGCGGCAGCCCTATATATGCTCCATGCCAAATATGACTTTAAAATTGTCAATAAGGGAAACTATCCCTTGATACTTTTGACATTCTTATGCGAAGTTTTACCTTCTAAAGCCTTAAAACTATGGGACCATATCGAAATAAGGACAATATCGTTGCATCTACAATTGGTTGAAATACTAGATATTTGAAATATTGTTTGTTTAAGCGTTCCCGGGTATGTTCATAGCTCGGTGTACGCATTTTTTATTACTAAAGCTTTGTAATTAAGGTAAACACGGTGTACCTGTGAATAAGCTGATTCAAAATATTTTAAAATTTTAACAGATTTTGATCAATGAAGACAAAATGGCATATGGGGTTACCTACTTACGCCATGGCATCCCTCAAATTGCCCACGCTTCACGAGATGTAATCATAAGTGCGGGGGCAATCCTGTCTCCACTGATGTTAATGAAGTCAGGCGTTGGTCCTCCACAGATACTTCGAGACGCAAATGTATGTATTGTCATTTTATTTCTTACAGCTACTTAAAAATAATCGCATTGATAACCTAGCATATCAACAATACAGAAGGGGAAACTTATTTTGTTGTTAAAAATCTAGTATGTCACATAAGTATGTTGACACTCCGTGCTGGTATTGACTTGGTAATGAGTTCCTACCGGATTGGCAGTAACTTGTTCCTGAGTGGTAAATTGCTCATTACCACAAAACTAGTTAACGATAATTCTGTGCCTCATTACCGTGCCCGTAGAGTCACAAATGTAGTCCGGTTGTTAATGATTTAATGCCAGTTGTCAAACAATGCAAGTCTTTTACCTATATAGTACAACGCATCTCGCCATAAGACCAATTTTATTATGTTCACCACAAAAAATAACATATCATTATGTTTGCAATTTTCCTAATGAGATTTCCTTTCCTTTGAAATTGGGTTAAAATTCGAAAAATTACAGCATTTAAAAAAATCCAGATTTTGGCTAAAATGGTTTTGAAAATTCCACCACGGGCGAAAACATGTCCGTTAAGGAAAACGAAAAAATAAGCGTTTGCTTATTTCAGAGTGTGAGCAACTCAAAATTAATCCGGTCAAGATCGGTGATAACGACCTGATACCTCCTCATTGTAAACTTTGACTGCACTTTGGGCGTTTTATAATTTTTCGAATTGAAACTACTGATTTCAGATACCCATCCACGAAGCTCTTCCTGGTGTCGGGCAAAACTTGGGAGATCATCCATTAGCCCAATTAACTTTTGAAATTGGGAATGCCGCTGCTGCTGCAGCTTTTGACGCAATTCTACCAGAGTCTGATTTTGAAAAGGAGCTCATCAAATTTCACTCAACACCAAGGGATGGGGTATTTGCGAAGATACGGGCACAACAAGCCTTCCTCGTTTCGTCGCGAGCAAAGGAAAATGGCGAAAAGGGTTGGCCAGACATTTTACTGATTAGCACTTTGTTCCCAGAGCAGAATACGTCGCAGGTGCAGTTGTCAAGCAGGGTTCACCACCCCGGGTTTTTGTGGGTTGGGGTTTTTGTGGTTTTTGTGGGGTTTTGGGGTATCAAATCTCCGGAAAAACCCTAATGCTTAATGGGGTTTTTGCGGTTTTTGTGGGTTCTTCCAAGGTTTTTGTAAGATTTTGGTGTAGATTGAAACAAAATCTTTTAAACAACAACTTAGATCAATGCGAATTCAATTTTTTCGGATTCATCATGAAATTTTGAGAATTTTCATGTGCGACTTGAATTTCCAAGTATTATTGCATATTTTCAGGTTTACATGTTAAACACTAATTTTCGATTCAATAGTCAAAGTCAATGATAACCTTTAAAATTGCACGCTAAATTCGTTTCTTAAATTAGTTTTTCCCCAATAAATAATTTTAGGGATTTGGGTTCAACTGCCCCAAAATCTGGAAAAACCCACAAAAACCCACAAAAACACCCAAAAACCCCGGAAAAACCCCCGGGGTTGGGTTTTTCTAGAAAAACCCCGGGGTTTTCCGAACCCTGTTGTCAAGCTTATTTAACACTTTCATCATATTTACTCCTACATATTTCCATCGCTAACATATTTAGTTGTCACCCTATATATTTCAAATCTCCAGATGTACTTCAGCATAGCTCTCGGCCGACCAAGATCCAGAGGATCAGTTACACTAAACAGAAAGGCGTATCTCTCTAGAGAAGTAAATGACGAAAACCTAGCCGCAATCGATTTGGGAAGTTTGGCAGATCATACCGATTTGGAAGTTATGCTTGAAGGTTGTCAAATGATCATTGAATAACTAAAATTAACCGTAAATTTGAGAATTTTATTCTAAAACTTGAACCCATAGCGTTGAGAATGGTCCTGAAAATTAAGGAGACATCCGCCTTTAAAAGGTTGGATCTCAAGCTTTCCTCGGTAATTCCGCCATCTTGTAAAATATACAGATTTGACTCGAACAATTTTTGGAAATGTTATATAACTCATACCACGAAAACATTCTGGCATTACTCGGGAACCTGCAAAATGGGACCAAAAAGCGATCCGTTTGCTGTGGTAGACTCGAAATTTAGGTTAGTTTAATACGTGATAAGTAATACGACCTTGTGAATCTCCTTAACAATATATAGGAAAGCAATATTCGCTTTTAATAAGTATTTATGAGGAAAGTACATATCTAGATAAATAATGCCACTCTAGTCTACATATGTACATCATCTAACGCTCGCCCTTATACGATATTTCACACTTATAATGCGATGACGACAGCGGTCTCGCTCTGATTTTTGTGAACTTACGATCATTATGCAGCCTTAGATAAATAATTGAATACGTGTTTGAGGATTTTCATAATGCCGAGTTGAAACAAAATTATGACGGAATCCGTACCCTATTTAGAATTTGTATGTTTACCGTGAATTTTGTTTACAAGGAAGAAAAATACAATTATCGCATTCGAATACCGTCACAATTTCGTTTAAACTTGGCATTATGGAAAAGCCTGAAATACTTGTCTAATTATTTATCTAAGGCTACATAATTTTCGTGGATTGGTCGAAATCGGAGTGAGACGGCTGGCGTCATCGTATCGTTAGCATCGCAAATATTTTAAATATTGTACGGAACCAGAGAAGTTGAGATTGTGTATTCTAGAGTTTTTGGCATCCGTGCACTCCGCGTCGTCGATGCAAGTGTCCTACCAATGTCAACAGGCTCAAATACCAACGCACCTACGCTCCTCGTTGCAGAAAAAGCTGCCTGCTGCATCCTTCGTAATCATTTGCAACCTAACTTTGGCGACAAATTTTGTCCGCTAGACTACCCCTGGCTGTTTAAACCTGTCGTGGATCCACATAAATAAGTTGCAATAAAATTTAATGCAAATACTTCCTTCTATACAATTTACACTAGGGAGCAAAATTATTCGGGTAAGATGATCCTCAAAATTCAAATGGAGATAAATGAGTCATAGCAAGTATTTCTACACTCTCGTAACTTAGGCACAAGTTACGGGTCCTTAAGAAACCAATTTAAAAAATCAAATTTCAAAATTTTAAAAATTTAATTTGTAATAAAAAAAATGTCACACAGAATAAGTTTATCACATCTATCTAATCAAAATAATTATGCATAACTTGAAATTTGAATTTGAATTACAGTTCGGGCTTTTTACTCATTTTTATTTTTGACATAGAGCTTTTAAAAATTAATCCGACAGCACACTTATGGTTTTTAAAAATTAACGAGAGACAGCACTTAGGATGAGAGGTTTTTAAAATTAGGAACAAGTCTCACGTATGGCTATTTAAAATTAAGATGAAATTAAGAGACTGTACTTAGGGTTTTTTTAGAATTAGGCCGACCATATGCATAAAATCCATGCATCATATTTAATTATTTAGGAACGGAAGACAAAAATCATCATTTATGTACAGCATATGTATTAACAAATTCACTAAAAATATCAATGAATACTTTAACTAATATTGTAGAGTTATAATTTATTTACTCATCAGTCTGTAACGGGCAAACTAAATCATCTAAAAGTTCTTCCAGCTCATCTTGTTCGAGGCATTGACTTAGCCCACTGACCGTAAAGTTTTCACCATACCCAATCCCAATAATTTGAAGGCCTAAGAACATAAAAATAAATTGATCTGAGGCATACATATTTGGCTATAATAAAAAAACTAGTTTTTAAACCCATCCAGCGATGGGTTAGGAAGGAATGAAAAACATTGAGCACCTCGTTTTCCATATTCTGTAAAATACAGACAGAAAGGGCGCTGCCCACCGGTCAACTAACAGCGCACATGTCACACAAATTTCTCACGTATCTTGTTATCAGTATCACTAATAAATTAAGGTGCTCAACACAAACAACAGGAAGCTTCGAAAATATAAAGGAATCCTGCAGATGTATGAATGAATAATCAGTGTTAAACAGTTTTACACTGACAGAGTAAACACATTGCGGCTCACAATGCAAGTCTTTTACGTGTAAAACTCATATCTGGTTGGGACAGATTTTATTGTGTTCACCACAAAAAATAAGTATACCCGTATTTTTTAATTTGTCATAATGCGCTAATTTAACCGCGAGGCGCGAATTTCAAAACATTTTTCGCTGCATCTTGTTCGATTCGCATTTCACGTTCTACGAAGCCATTACTGGGACTGCACTGAGGTGAGTTGAGACCGAATCGTATTCCTCGTTTAGAGAAGAGGGATACCAATTCTTGGCATTTGTACTCGCCCCCATTATCCGATCTGAACATCTTCACGTTATTTCCGGTCTGAGTACGCATGAAGTTAATCGCATCTATAACATTCATTGCGGTTTCACCTTTTTTCTTTTGGAAATATACTTGTCTAAAAGCTGATGCTTCGTCCTTTACTACAAGGAAGTACGAATTTCCATTTTTCGAAATTGCATTTGCATAACCAAGATCGGAATGTAAGCATTCTCCTGGCAAATACTTTACAGTTTTTTCAACTGTAACGTAACTCTTCTTCTTGGACTTTGCTTTCATGCATATTTCGCACTTGAAATTCACATCCTCTCGCTTCATATTTTCCAGGCCATACGCAGCCTCTTTGTCCTTAGTATCGTTCAGAAACTTGGAATTAATATGAGCTAATCTCTCGTGCCATACGACAGGCTTGATACAGGCCATCGCTCTGTTTACAATTGGCTTGAATTTCATTATTTGAAGACCGTCTCTTCGTTCGGCTTCAATATCACGCTGTCCATCGCGATAATAAATAATTTGATTATTTCCGCTTTTGCTTACTACTAAGCCTTTGTCGAGAAGAACATTTTCTGACAGTAAATTTGCCCCCCCTGGCACATATTCAACTTGATAAATAGTTATTTCTACCCAAACTTTGTTAATAAGTGCTTTCACTTTCACTGCTCCTACGCCTTTTACAAGCATGAGAGAGTTATCGGCCATGCTGACCGATTTTGGGCATGGGTATTCTGTATATTCGAAAAACTAGTCTGTTCGCCCACAATAATGGCGATTTGCACCAGAGTCATTTATCCAAAGGTCACTTAGCCCACCAGCCATATAAGCTCCTTCTGATTTTTCATCAGATTTCTGTTCCTTCTTTGCAGAATCTTTATCTTTGAAGGTGCACTCACTTTTCCAGTGGCCCTTTAATTTACAGATGTGACATTTAGTTTTCTTTTTCAGATCACTAATTTCTTGTCTGGTTCGCTTTGGTCGCTCTTTCTTGGCTGCATATGCTTTTGATGTCTCTTCGACATGTGAAGCATTTTTGTACGTCTCGCCATCTTCTAACTCCCAGGTTTTCAACCTGGAGAGAAGTAGAGCTGATGTTTGTTTCGCAATCTCAACTGACCTCCAGGCCTCTCGAAATTGGCGAAACTTTTCGTCCATCATACTGGAAATTATCCTAGCGACCTCCATCTCGTCATCAATTACAGCTCCCATACTTCGCAGTTGGGCGGCATAATTTTGTATTTCAATCATTGTTTTAACTGGGGACTTGCCTGAGGTTACCATAATGCTGTAATATTTCTGCCACAGCACTTGTTTGCTCTCTCCACTGATGCTTTGGTACATCGTGTTTAGTTTATTCCAGATTTCATGGGCTGTTGCACACCCAGAAATCGACTCCACCTCGGCGTCAGTCATGCACAAATATAACGAAGTCATAGCTTCATTGTTGCGTTTATCCCATTCTTTTTGAGGATCACCTACTGCTGCAGGTCTGGTGGATGTTCCGTCCACTATTTCGTTTAGGTCATGCGACCTAAATAGGCTTGACATCCTCACTTTCCAAACACGGAAATTATCACCGTCAAGTTTAGATATCGAAGATGTGTCAAACTTTCTACCCACTATTGTCGTAGTGGTAGTTGTTGTCGTTCCCGAAGTCGTGGTAGTCATTTTCTGACTTTATTGTCTCAAACTTATATTTTTAAACTTAAAATCTTTTCAGAAATTTAAGTTTTTCAGAAACTTTGCAGAACCCGTGCTGATAACGTGTTCAAAATATAAGGAGAGAGATGCTCGACTGTTGGAGTATTTTCAGCTACTGATTTATTAAACGCAGCTCATTGTCATACATATAAGATCATCATCTAAGTCATTCAACTTTTCATGCATGCATTTATCCACCCATAATATTAGGTGGTCAAGTATGTGCAATGATGCACATTTAGCGACATAATTCATATTATAACATACACAATCAGGGTTATTTTTAACACATATATGAATACAATTTGGTATTATTTTAATACTGGATTTCTAAGAGTGTACTAATTTTTTACTAGAATTGATCTTCGGTACGATGTTGATTTCATTTTACACTTGACAGAAACCAATCACAGATATCAACAAGATTCCAATTTTTATGTGTTTTGTTTGTCGAAAAACAAGAAAAATCCACTTTTGAACATTAACATCGGTGCATGGAAAATTCTAAAATCCGTGAAGAAAAATATCGAAAAAATTACAATTTTTAACATAGCTTTTTTATAAAGTACCAAAGAAATACTTTATTTTGTAGAAATTTGGGTGTCAGAGGGTAATTTATGCGGCATGCAACACATTTTTGTATTTCGACGTCAACGGAAAATAAAATATTACATGAATATATATTCTTTGCCATTAAGAGGTTAAGTGCCAAAATTAAGCACCCATATATCAACATGCATTGATTTACTATTTTGCATTTCTGACATTTGGTTAGTCTTTCACTTGTGTTGTATGCACTCTAAATAAATATTCAAGTTATTAAATATTGATGGAAGGAAAGTAGAACATGTACATATGTACATGCATCAAACTTACAGATTATTGAAGAAAATTCGTCCTCCGTAAAAAAGTCGCCATTTCTAGGGGTCGTTTCCGAATAGAATTTTACGTGATTCGCCAGTTGAAAATGTTCGGCATCATTGCGGTGGCATCCATACCCAAACCGGGTAACAGCGGTGCGGCGTAGTTTCCCGTAAACTAAGCCTCCTTTGGCGTCTCGTTTGTTAAAGATGCATTCGCGAAATTTGTCATAATCGTGCCCCAAATCGGCCGAGGTTAAGCATTGATTGGAATAAAGAGCTGCAACGACTACTCGGTTACTCAAGTGTTGGATATAAAAGATATTGTCGAAGCCATCCGGGTCCAATGATACTCTGTGGAATACGTAATAATAAATTACAAATCGGTGTAAATTTAGAGATGAGTCGGACCAAACAGTATGAGACCCCGACCCGGGTGTGGTGGGTTTCACCGGGTTGGATACCCAGTTTTACCGGGTAACTCAAACCTTACAGGTGAGTTGGGTCGAATATTTTTAAAACCCGAAGCGCTCGACCCGGTAAACAAAACCCGGTCATTTTACGAATCCTATCAGGTCGGGCTTTTATCAACGCCGAAAAATTGCAAGCGAAATAACAAGATTTTTTACTACTCTCACTCCGTTTATAAAATCTCGTAACTTATCTTGTCAAGAAATAATGAACACCCTGATTGAAAATTTGTTCCTACATATTTACCCAAGTTATTAAGTATATATTTACTTAATTATACCCACGAACCTGGAAAAGAGCAGCGCCAAGGAGACGAGTAAACGAAGGAGTTCGTTAATCACCGTAATAAAGGCGAACACAGGCCAAAGCGCAATTGCTGCCAAAACTTGGCCAAGAATTGGAAAAATTGGTAACATTTTATATGTTTCAGAAAAGAGATGCTTTGGCAGCTCGCTGAATCTGAGGCTGGACTGGGAAGCAAAGCTGGAAAACTAAACGAGGAAGAAAACTTGCAGTAAACATGTCCATCTTTCCAGACACTCTAAATAATCTGGTAACAAGCATTACCAAGCGGTGCTTATCAATGTTTCGAGTGTGTAAGTAACCACTTGCAAGGAATGACTGCAAGAAATTGGTTTCCCATAGCTATAAATTGCGACCTGCAATACGGTGAGTCGCTAGATGGCGCTTATTTCTTGACCTTTCTCACTTTTCGTGCTTTGAAGTGCAAGAAGTGTATAAATCACACCTGCAAGAAAACTCCGGTAATACATAAATTTGGCACCAACTGGTAGTATTTATTAAACTTATTTCCAGACTGGTAATTACTACAACTGCGAAATAAATACATGCATATGTATATCTATTGCCACTCTGGTAATAAATTTTCTACAAGTCGTAACAAACTTTTACCTCTGAGGACCGAGTGGCATCTATATAAGCTGGTGCCAGCCCTTAGGTGATGTCCACAAATTATGTCACGGCTGAGGGGGCAAGGAGTTTCAAAGTTTTGGGGAAAAGGTTCATTTGTGGCCGGGGAGGGCGGAAAAAAGTCTATAGATTTTTGCCTGACATAATTTATGGGAGTTCTCCTAGTACAAGATTATTTAGGGTGCAAGATGCAACTTATTTTAGATCAAGACATGTTGTTTCTTTGCTGGTCCAGATTGGCTTTATTTTACTAACTAAGTACATATGTAGGGTACGTGTAGGGTATGTACATATATAAAAATTGTAACAAAACATGTTTAAATTATCCACCTCTCAGCACGTGTTGGCTGGTCTAGCAAATGATCTACATCAACTCTGAGCAACTTGGTATTGAAAAATGATATATGATTCAATCACCATAGTGTTTTTTATCCGGTTACACCACCTTGATGTTGATCAATTAATGAAATAATTCTTTACAGAATTAATAATTCTAACTTAGCTACATATATTGTTTTCTTTACAATATAGAATTCATTGATTTATTACCAGGCCATTACTGATGGTATAGAGTTATACATATTTATAGCTGTACCTCTCGTTATTGATTTTTATTAAAGTGCAAATACACACAGGTTGCTAAAGTCACATACTTAAACACTGCGCACTTGGATTGATTTGGTAATAATTAACTTCCTATCGGACTTGTGGTACATAATTTGTTTCTGAGGGACACATTTTTATCTACCAAGACATAAGTGAACCATTATGCCGGGTACTTATAACCAGTGCTTATAGAGTTAAATATTTGCATATGGATTCAAATATGTATGTACTCAGTAATGATTTAATACCGGTTTTGTACGAGTGCATCTCCAGAGTAGGTATTTATCTATATGCGCCACACAAAATTTGCAGAGTTGCTTTCTTATTCTAATGCATACATACATACGAAGGCCAACATGTTGAGATTATCCATCCCTCAGCACCGTAAGTTCATACTTGATTATTATAACTTTATTAGAAATGTATCGCCTTAACCTGCAATCTCACCGTGGTAATGCTTAACTGCACACATACAGATATTTAATTTTCTATTGTCACAACGTAATTATTCATTACATACATATATACATACATATTTTTTTCGAAATTTCAATTCCTGCCAATTCTCTAAACGTTTGCATATGTTACCCTAAATATATGAATGTATGTTTCTCTAACAAAGAGAAGCGATGATCAAAACCGCAATTTGGAGATAAACGAGAATTTGATTTTGTTAAGATTCTAAGCGTTAGCAGAGTATGTATATTGATTTATTTTTTATTAGTCCAACGCTACCAGTCTGGCGTTTCTATGCTGCCCCTGGCCCTGGCCGACTGGGTATGACAAATTCGTGCTGATTTTTAGTGCAGGAATGTGTCAATATTCTTGATAAATGCGTTGCACCAAAAATTTTCTCATTTTATCTTTTAAATTAAATATGGCCGGAATACAATTGGCGTGATAATATTGTTATTATCAAAAATACAGTGCGTTGTCATTTTAATATTAAAATAACATTATTTAATGTTATTTTGCGATGCAAAATAAAAAATGGGTTAGTTCTTTGGTCGTTTAGATAATGGATACATATTTTTTTTGTTTCTTTATTGTGTAATAAAATTCTGCATTTTAGTCAATATTAACCCTATCCCTACATTAGTAAGCCGACAGTGTGTATGCCGACATATTTAAATTTAATATGCCTGAAACAGCAAAAAATTAATATATTTAATCACAGAAGACAAACTGTATTAATACGAATGCAAATAAAAATTTGGTGATCATTTGTCAAAAATTCACAAATAGAGCCAAAAAAATGTCATAATTAATCAAAATCAATTTTTCAAATTATGGATTAATCCCATTCAAGAAGATTTCACATTTCCAAACTGTTCTTCAAAATATTCCTCCGCTTTTTCCAACGCTTCTCGAGGATCATCCCGATACCAGAAGAGCAAACCTTGAATCATGGCGAGTGAAACTTTGACCTTGACCCCCCTCACAACCTGGATAAATTTCTCCCTCACCCCCTCCCACTTCACATCATTTGCATTATAAAACTTGTCAAACATTCCTCCAATCTGGGCATCATCCGGGTAATCGATCCGAACCTTAAGATCCACCCGCCCGGGTCGGATCAACGCAGGATCCAACCGTTCCGGATAGTTCGTCGTGAGAAACACGATCTGCCCATCGTCCGACGAAGCCACGCCGTCCAGCGCGTTGAGCAGCCCTCTAAAAGTGAGGAAAGAGTGGGGATGCCCGTAAAACGCAGGACTCGACTTCGGCCCCCCACTTTCACCCAAATCTGTTCAAAAATTTAGTTTTCATTCAAAACTGAGTCATTTCGATTTCTTAATGAAGATTTTCATTCACATTAAGTCATACATACATACATACATATGTACACTTTCAAATTCATTTCACTTCATCGGACTTCATTTCTTTCTTCGCCCCATGTGTTAAGCATAGGGTAAAAAATGGGAAAAGTAAAAAATCCTTCCACTCACCTTCTGTCATTCTTCTGAAATGACAGAATCCTTTAGTCATTTTCATTCAAATGACATATTTAGAATTCATTTTCATTCATTATCATAATCAGTCAAATGAATAAAGGAGAACAAGTACAATGCTTTTACCACCTTTCTCCTCCCTACTGCCAAACGCTGCGTCGATATCTTCCAACAAAATGACCGACTTTTCCGGCGCCCGGTTCAACAATTCTGTAACCGTATCATCCGTGAGCCTCTGGGAGAGGGAGACGACGCAAATGTTGTAGCCCAACTCGCCCGAGATGGCTTTCACGAGGGAGGACTTGCCACACCCGGGAGGACCGTGGAGCAAATACCCCCTCCGGTAGGGTATACCCTTCTCCACGTACCAGTTCTCCATTTTCAAAAAATTTCTGATATCTTGAAGAAGACCGGGTAAGATCTTATCCTGGAGAATTACTGGTAAATTATTTGTTTAGAGGTGTCATCCTTTTTTGGGAGGGGGCGGCATTCCTGGATAATTTCCAGGAGTAAGGCACGATTCCAGGAAAACGTGGAGAGTATCACAAGCTCGTTATTAAATGATTGGAATTGGCGGGTAATTTCGATCCGCACGTTTTTATAAAGGAAAGAACTCGGCGAATCGAGTCCGACCGTGGTGGCGAAACGGTATCTCCAATTGTTGGAGGAGGTTTGAAAATCTATATGGGCGTCAGAGTCAAAATCTGTGTTGAACCCAGGTTCGGCAGGATTTTCAGGTAACGGGACTTGCCTAGTAAGCAATATGTGACTTTGGAGTTCTGCACAGTTCGGGTTTTTCGCGACCCATTGGAGAAAAGCGCCGTACATGGTTTCGTTGCTCGTATCGCGACCGCGGCGTCGCTCGACCTCGGGAGAGAGTTGGAGTGATACCTGGAGACAAAAACCATAAAAAATGTGTAAATAGAAATCCAGAGATTTTGTGGAATGTCTAGTACTCAGGACGGATTTTTCACGCGAAATGAGAAGTATTAAATTTCTGGCTAACTGGGGTTACTTGAATATTACTAAAAGGTGTAGGAAATGGGAATGTTTCCTCAAATCAACTGCAAAATGTTCTTTTCCCGTTTTTGATAAATTTTTTCACGTGAAATATTCGGCCAGAGTAGTTAAATATGTATATAGGTACACGCTTAGAAATCGAAATAGAATTGTACTAGTAAGGTACATATGCATCTCTAAAAAAATTTGCATTTGTCACTTATGTATCTACATATGTATATTTTTGAAAACCAAGCATTACCCTTGCAGGGATAAACGTGCTCGAATTAAATCACCCTTTATTTCAATACATAATACTTGACATATGTATCATTCTTCCATCGTGGTACATATTGATGAGTAATACAAGCTCGGCATTAAACTTATACCATATCAAATTTGTACGGATCGGGATACACAATTTTAAAAATTGCAAATCGTTGACAACCTTAACACGTAAAAAAGTACTTTTTTTTTAAATGATTATTAGTTTGCCAAATTTACCATGAAATGTTTCTTTATTCGAGTGAGGCTCCATCGTAGCAGGTACAGCGAGGACGTCAGAGTGGCCAAGAGGAGCAGGATGGTCGCTAGTTTCTCCTGGATAGAATTCTTCGCAAAAATATTGGGACAAAAATCCTCAGAAAAGTTTGCAGTGGTCATGATTCGTCTCGCTCAGTTTCTCACTGCACGATAGTCAGGGTGAGGTTGTTGGTTTTATGCAAAAACTAGTTGCATGAGATGCACTGCTAAAAATGTGGTAGAGTCAGACTTGCATATTCTCCGTACTGGTAATACCTGCTTCTTACCAAATTGGTACATATGTACGTATGTAGTACTTCTGAGGCATAAACTAATCATTACCACAACATTACTTAAATGTAATGCCCTTTAATCCCAGTTCCGATGTATGTACTCCGGCTGGTTAGACTGATTTAATACCAGTTTTCTAAGAGTGTATACGTAAATACAATGAAAATGTATGTATGTAAACGTTGGGATGTTAAAGAACTCGTATTTTGCATCGCTTGATTTAATTCATCTGGCAAACTGGTTCCCGAATACGGAGATATGGACACCCTTAGAAATCCAGTATGCAAATAATGTCAAGCGGTATTTTCATGCATATCTGATTAGTAATGCAGCTCGGAATTAAAGTTTTAACATATCGGTAACAAATTTTTATAGATCGGCATATGTAAATAATATTAATTCCAAGCGCTAGTAACTTTAACACCCGAAAATCTACACCATCTGCCAGACTACTTACTGTATTTATACCAGATTTCTAAGAGTGTATTTGTATGTGCACATGCAACTTGGAAGTATCTTATGCTGGAGAGAGCAATGATCACTTTTTATACGCGACACGTGTATGTACAACACATGCACACATAACCAAGGTTATGGCATGTAGTTAAACTCATTATCGAGACGCTGAATATATTGCCATTACAAAATCTGCAAAATTTTGCAAATTTTGCGAAATAATAAAAGAAAACCAATTTCTATCAATTTCTCTGTGGAACTTACAATTAGTATATTTTTAATTAGCTCCATATATTTATGTATGTATTACAATATACATATATACATACATATGTAATTCTTATCATCATCTTTACCACCATATTTTGCTCTGTTTATTAAAATTTTGCAACCATTTTAGCAAATCCGCAATGTTTCTCATTAATCCTACATACAGTTTCTTGCACTTCTCAGCATTAGTCACGTATGTACATATATTTAGCCAGCGTTTACCAAGCTTTGAAGAAACTTGTCTATTTAGTTACGCAGTAACACGAGCGGTTTGTTGTGTCGTGCAAATTTTTGAACAATTTTTGCAACATAAACCAGTTAAAGAAAATAATAAAAAAGTGAACCATGCAAACTCGTTAATGCTTAACAAAAACTTGAGCTCACATAAGTTTTATGCATGCAGTAAGAGATTGACGAACTAAATGCACACGACCCTTCACACAGGTTTTTGTCTCCACTTTTTTGTCCAAATTGCTATACAATTTTCTGTAACACGTTGCTTTCTGGACGAATTAAATCAAATCCTTGTGCATATTGGATTATGCAGTAACACGGCTGACTTGTTGAAAATTAGGTTCCAAGCCGCGTCGGATATGCATGCACACTGTTAGAAATCTGTTACACTCAGGGTGGCATTGATTTCTTGGTATGGAAGTTGCTACGCAGCCTCGTATTAACATTACACCGGTCCGTAATAATTTGATACGGATATGGTAAAACTTTAAATACCGAGCTGATACTATGCGGTGTTACTAATCAATACCACTTTGGTAGAGTCAGATAAATATGTATGGATATGGCTTGGTATTATTTTAATACTTGATTTCTAAGAGTGTGCATAGCACAAACATCACGAATGTAATTGCAAAACAAGAGTTTGTTTCAAAGTCGTAAATGTTTCCTTAGCAAAATATTACCATCAGGTAATTCGGTGCAGGTACAGTCATTCATATGTGTACTTTGGTCGGTAACAATTTAATACCAGTAGTTTTCTAAGAGTGTTCCTTCCTGCTTTCATGAATGAAACAGATCTGGCGAACTAATTATGCTAACAAGTGCATACATATGTACGTAGCCCAACACACTTTGTCTCACTTTTGTCCGTGATTGCAGTAAGAGAGGAACTCATTTTGTTCCTTCTTCACAACTTTTTCCATCCAAATTTCCAATATGTTCCCGGTTTCTGTGAACAATTGGATCCCCGATAAATTTACCGTCACACATTTCCTAGTCCCAGTTACGCTAGCCCTCTCGGTGTATTTGACACTATGGAGTTCCACCCAAATAAAGGATGCTTTCATGGTAAGACTTGTTTAATCACAGTTTGAATTACATACAATTGTTTTATCAGAAATTAAAGGCGATTAATTATTTGACGCATATATTGACTTGGATTACGGATACATCCGCATATTACGTCATCAAAAAAAGTGTCGATTTATAAACCACTCACCCACACCTTCCTTCCCTACTCATGTCTACCTTAGCACGAGTATGATAGATTTGCTACCACTATGAAAAAACTTTCATAAAAGTTCACTGGATATTATGCAATATCCGGTACTACATATCGATACCGCTTTGGTAGAGTCATAAACATCGGCATGTATTATTTTAGTACCGGATTCTTAGGAATTTATGCTAATCCTATTTTATGCACGTATTTATTTATTTACATACATACGTACCCACATGTAGATGTGATGGATATATTTTTATTTTGCGAAAACCTTTTTTGCGTTTGCTACGTAAACTGTTGCCAAATCATCCAGGAATTAGCGAACTGTGTAAATATATAATATGATATTTCGCGTGATACATATTATGTATCACGCGAAATTTTACATTTTCTAACCTCTTTCATTTCTCCCTATTAAATAGGTATCCCTCCAACTCTGTGGAACCAGCCACACTCCAGGAATGTGTGACGAGCTCATTTACATCTCCTTGCTTCAATGGATCGCCAAAAATCCGAACTGCGCCGGATTCCAGACGCACGCCCTTATCTCCAAAAAAGTACCCCTTCCGGAGGACGGGTCCGAACCAAGCAGAAAAGAAGCCTTGTACACCCTACTTGACCAGCTTCGGTGCTCCTCGTGCAGCGGAAATTTCAAATATTATTTCTTGACCACGATCGGTTTCGGATCGACGAGTTCCTTCCTCTACAAAAATGCCCGGGTCGAAATTACTCGGCGATTCGACGGTCACCAGGAGCTCATCACGCTGTCCACTCCTGGAATCTCCTGGAATCTCCTGGAATCGTGCCTTACTCCTCGAAATTATCCTGGAATGCAGCCCCACCCCGAAAAAGGGGGACGCCTCTAAACAAATAATTTACCAGTGGGACGGACACTGGAGAGAGATGGGTTATCCGAAAAAGAAGCGTCCCATCGAGTCGCTCATCCTCCAGGATAAGATCTTACCCGGTCTTCTTCAAGATATCAGGAGTTTCTTGAAAATGGAGAATTGGTACGTGGAGAAGGGTATACCCTACCGGAGGGGGTACCTGCTCCACGGTCCGCCCGGGTGTGGCAAGTCCTCCCTCGTGAAAGCCATCTCGGGCGAGTTGGGCTACAACATTTGCGTCGTTTCGTTATCCCAGCGAATCACGGACGATTCTGTTACCCAATTGTTGAACCAGGCGCCGGGAAAGTGTGTCATTTTGCTGGAAGATATCGACGCGGCGTTTGGCAGTCGGGAGGAGAAAGGTGGTGAAAGCATACCTGTTCACTTTCATTCATTTGACTTATGACTGAATGAAACTGAAATTCATTCATAAGTGAATGAAATTCCCGTCATTTCAGATGAATGACTTTGAATGAAAAACAATTTTTTGAACAGGTATGGGTGAAAGTAAGTCAAATATTGCTTTTGGGGGGCAGTCCGAATCTCTCTTGACGTTTAGAGGGCTGCTCAACGCGCTAGACGGCGTGGCTTCTTCGGACGATGGACAGATCGTGTTTTTCACGACGAACTATCCGGAACGGTTGGATCCTGCGTTAATCCGACCCGGGCGGGTGGATCTTAAGGTTCGGATCGATTATCCGGATGATGCCCAGGTTGGGGGAATGTTTGACAAGTTTTATGATGCAAATGATGAGAAATGGGAGGGGGTGAAGGAGAAATTTATCCAGGTTGTGAGGGGGGTCAAGGTCAAAGTTTCCCTCGCTATGATTCAAGGTTTGCTCTTTTTGTATCGAGACGATCCCAGGGAAGCGTTGGAGAAAGCGGAGGAATATTTCGAGGAACAGTTTGGAAATGAGACAAAATTGCCGGGGGAAAAATTGAAATTTTAACAAGCAGGGGAATTTCGTGGCTTAATTTTGCAAGAATTCGAATAACAAAATAGGAACGTATACATTCCTATTTTACATATATGTAAAATGAATTATATAACTTTTGTTTCAGCTTAGGAAATGTGTTAATTATTCTAGTTATATTTCCAATAAACTAAATAAGTTATAATAAAACGTCCTTTGTTTTGTAGAAATTAAATATGTTTCTCAGAATTTATATAAATACATACATGCTTAGGATTACTTTGTTAATTGCATAATTTAATTGTCTACCCTAAGTAATCCAGGTTGTGGCAACTAACCTGGAAAGTATATCTACTCTACGCTGGTACTAATTTTGCTACCTGACGGGAAGTAGTTTGACTCCGTTTGATAAGGTTTTCATTTCCATGACATTATTTTCATATGATACGTACGTACTTCAGCCATTAATGATTTTACCCCAGTTTCCAATGAGGCTAAATGCGCGACTAAAAATCTTCTCATAAGATTTCCTTCGTCTCAAAATAATGTTAATACATTTGTATGTAAATTTATTATTTCTTTAGCAACGTTTGTGTATGTGTAACAAGTTTTGCAAACTTATTAGCAAAAATACTTAGAACGTTTTTGCACATACGTACATAATTCTTATTATTTATAAGCAACGTTATTTCAGCAACGTTGGCCATTATCTGCGAACACAATATGTATGTACCTATATGTATGCATGCATAACAATTCTGCCAGCAGGTACATACGTTTAGTTGCATGCCTTACTTATACACATCTACTTCGAGTATATTCGTTTCATTTCTGAGCAAAATGTTCCGAGAAGAAATGCGGCTACATAATCTGTAAATTAATTTCCCAAAAAATAAATCTTCTGATCGTCCATATGTATGTACAGACGGCCATGAAACGGGGAAATAAATAGTTGTACATACGCAAATATAGAAAATTTACTTACACATATTCATCGCCACGCACGCTGCATATATACGTTTACAAAAAGTGATTGCCATAGTGACTCATGCATACAGCAACTTTATGCGAAGACCGTGTCCGGCTGTCGGTCCGTCTGCAGGATACTGATCCTGAGAGAACTGATCGATAAAATCGAAATTGGTTTATGGCATCATAGATATATAAATATGACCGCATGTGGGAGGATCCAATCAACTTTTGGGGCTAATCGGATCACCACCTCCCATTGAGGTTATGGGGGTGTGATGACATACTTTTCTGGAGAATTATTAGTTTCATCCTTTTATTACATTTAGTTTGCGACGATTTATTTATATGTACTTGTATCATAAGCAACCTGACACCGTAAGTCAAGGAACGATTACTTTAATATATATATATACGTGGATACAATTTACTTACAAGTTTTTTTCGCGTGGTGCTAGAAATTCTGCAAATTTATTGAACAGTGCGTATTGTATCGTCACGCAATTACATACTTAAATTCCTACTCTATCATTATGAAGCCATGAAAATTAATAATTTTAAATTAATCGCTCTAGTTATAAAACTCTTTTACCAGAAAAATGATGACGCTTTGAGCTGAGAACGTCGCAATTTCACTCATTTAATGCTGCCACACTCGCAAAATAACGTCACTCTCTTCCCAGTCACTGCTGCGTACACAACTCTGACGAGAATTTGCAACGCATTTATTTACATATTCACCATGAATTTCATCCAGGATCAATTCGGTCTTTTGTACTTGTCTCCTCGGACGCAAAAGTTGGTTCCCATTCCGCTAAAATCTGTGAGCATTACGGCCTCCGTGGTCCACGCGGTCGCACAGGTGGAAATCACACAGATTTATGCAAACTTTGAAGACACCCCGATCGAAGCGGTGTACATATTTCCGGTCGATTGTAACGGTGCGGTCACACATTTTAGGGCGGACTTGGATGGGAAAAGTATACAGGTATGTAAATACCTTGAAATATATCAAAATTATGCTGATTACGCCACTCTTAAAAATAATGTTTCCCTTTTAAAAAGCTTGATGCACTCTGAATTTTATATTAATTAAAAGAAATTAAATCAACAGTAAACTTTACTCCTTATCAAATTAACGTTACCGACTCTACTTTGGATTAAGTTTGGTTTACTCAACATAAAATTTAGAGTGCGTTTTCCCTTCAAGGGGGCAACATTATTTTTAAGAGTGCATACGTATTTACATTAGCATAAAAACTGTATTGTATTTTTATTTTGGAAAATTTAAGGGCGTCGTTAAAGCCAACGAGGATGCCCAAAGGGACTACGACGCTGCCGTTTCGAACCAGCAAACCGCATTTCTTGGTGGGGAAGTTAAGCAGGATATTTTCAAGGTAAGTCCTTATCGATGAATTACAAACAATCATCATTACCGCTCCCCGACAAAACCTATCTATAATTGTGATTCACATGCTTTTTTTTAAATTTCAGCTAAAAATCGGCTTCTTAAAACCAAACTCGATCGCAAAAGTTGTAGTTGGTTACGTTACCGAGGTTAACAACGACCCGGACACTAATTCCATCCGATTTTTCATGCCCACCACGGTGGCGCCGAGATACGTCCCGGGATCCGAAACGGATCAAAGATCCACCGATTTGGCGGGAATGTCCCACTCTGCCGATCCACCGGCTCCATTGAGCATTAAAGTCGTTGCGGCCATCCAAGGCGGGATAAAAGCCGTCCGAAGTTTATCCCATCATAAAATCCGGGTAGAATCAAGAGGTCCAATTCCGGAGAGGATAGGCTGGACAAAAGCTGTCGTCACTTTGGTTGACCACGTGACAGAAATGGATAGAGATTTCGTCCTCCTCGTCCACCGGAGGAAGCCGTGATGCAACCCAGGATTTACACAGAGGTTGTTCGTTAAGATAAAATATCTAAGACGTTATCTGGCAGGGCTTGGTTGCATACCAAAAAAAAATAATAATTTCGTTTAGAAAAATTTAAGGGACTTTATCCCTATTTGTTTGAACGGTGTACATATGTACATGGCATTTCTTGAGTTTGTAAGGCTCCAAGGGCCGTGTTTGCATTAAAATTTGAGCAAATTCGTAGCCAGTTTTGGGCTTAGGGGCCGTTCATGAATTACGCAATGCAAAAAAGTAACGATTTGCTAGACCCCTCCCCTCCCCCCTTTGTCATGTAACATAGACAATTGAAGGCTTAGACCTTCCCTCTTGGGTTGCGTAATTTATGGACGGCCCCTTATAAATTTTAACTTGATAGCTTAACACGTTTAGGAGAATTTTATTTCGGACTTTATGTTTTCGAATTAATAGCAAATTGTAATTTTCAGACCCTTTAAAACGGCTCAACCGCCATGATGGCTCACTTGCTACCGAGTTTTTCTCTAAAGGAAGGAAAAACCGAGTTTGTCATTCTCCTCGACCGGTCTGGTTCAATGGACGGGAATTGTATTCGTATGGCTAGAACGGCTTTGCAGGTTTGTTAAGAAACAGTGTTGGTCTTCGCATCCGGAAGTTAAAAAATGTAGACAATGATTGAAATCTAAAGAGTTATGTAATTTTCAGCTATTCCTTCACTCAATGCCGGCCGACTTCTACTTCAACATAATCGGATTTGGTAACAGTTTTCAAGTGCTGTTTTACAATGGCAGTCGGAAATACAATGAAGACACGTTGCGTGACGCGAATTGGCATGCACAACGTAAGCTTGCGAATTATTTATGTCTGAGCAATTGAGTTGATCAATTGATCAGAGTTATCAGATGTAATTGTGCTTAATATGTTATAAATTTCTTGTTAGATTTAAACGCGGATCTAGGCGGGACTGAAATCTTGGCTCCCTTATCCAAGATATATTCCTATCCGTGCATTCCTGGCTACACCAGACAAGTATTTGTCCTTTCGGATGGCGAGGTTTGAATTTTTAGCAAATCTAGATTTTATAAAATAGGGGCCGTCCATAAATTTCGTAACGAGAGAATAGGGAGGGATGTCTAACGCTCCAATGATATCGTGCCTATTTTTACATGCTAAAGGGAGGGAGGTAGTCTAGAAAACCGCGATTTTTGAGTTACGTAATTTATGGACGGCCCCATATATCATATGTATGTAGGTGTGGCTACAGGTTTATATTTTTCAGGTCAGCAATACGGAAGAAGTTATCAGTTTGGTGAAACAGAATTCTTCCAATAGTCGCTTATTCGCACTTGGAATTGGTTCCTCCTGTTCGCGCCATTTGATTCAAGGAATCGCAGATGCAGGCAAGGGAACCTCCGCATTTGTCGAAAATGAACAAGTGATTCATTCCGCGACGCTGAATCTTTTGAAAAATGCGCTACAACCGTCGCTGAATGGTAAGGTGATTATTTACATATTTACGGGCGGGGGATTATCCAGTAAATTACGCTTTATTTATCTTAAATTTATAGATGTTAAAGTTGAATGGGTTGGCGTATCAGAAGAGGAGCTAAACCCTGCCATGACCTTGTGTGGATATAACAAACCTTTGCATCCTACCGCAAAGTTTTTACAATCACCGAAACGGATCCAGCCAATATTTGATGGACGTCAGATGGTCGTACTTGCCATATTTCCACCCAGTTTGGTACAGCCAAACGGAGTGAAAATTACAGCTACATCACCCGATGGACCATTGACTTTGAAAATCAGTGTGAATCCGAATTCCGAAACTTCCGAAATCTTAATGTTACACAAACTTGCGGCAATTAAACTCGTGCGAGAATTAGAGTTGGAAAGATTTTCACAGCCAATGAAGCAGCAAATTATAGCACTTGCTGTTGAGCATGGTAAGATTTAAATTTTTATAACTATAGCTTCATAGTATACAAACTAAAAATAGGTATTTTTTTGTTATTGCGATTGTAATTTTGATTGTAATTAGATAAATATATTTTCCATCAAAATATTACTCTTACGCAATCTCACTAATGTAAAAATTTTAACACTATAATTCTCCCCTACCGATCTTGATCACCTAAATTTACTAATTTCTTTGTATTTTTATAACTAGTAGATTTCTACCTATTTATACAATTTTTGAACCTACCCATCATTCCAAAATATCTTGTTTATTAAAAATTCCACCACGTGCAACGCACATTTCTCCACGCTTTCCACATTAAAGTCCCTTAGGCTATGGATAAGAACGAACATTGAACATTTAAATATTTGCAACTACTTAACGAACATTTTCCACGTATGAAATAGGTCTTACCTCAAAGTACACGTCGTACATAGCTGTTGATCACTTGGGTGACCACTATCCAGGTCCTATGCAGAGACGAAGTGTGCCATCTCAATACCCGGTTGACCAAGGAATCCAACACAAATTCAGGCAAGGCACTATAAACACGAGATGGATCCCCAAATCTACATCCTCCATCCAGAACGCGACCAGGGACACTTATCAACTCCAGTTTTCTACCAGATGTCTCCCAACTAGATCGAGATCTCGATCTCGTTCCCGTAGCACAGAAAGAAACCGGGCATTACAAGAGTACCAGGATGACATTGAATTTGACAGTCTCGTTGTCCGGAGCGAGGAGGAGGGTAATGATTGCGGCGCAGATCTGGCTAGTATTCCATACCAGGTATGCAAATATTACATAATAATTCATAGTGTGGGCGGAAACCATGTAAAACCCAGATATAATTTTTTGCCATGTTAGTTTGAAAACAAGATACTGCTTAGAACAAAAATTTAAAAATTCAGGTCCTTTTCAGGAACTTTTGGTGAAACACCACAAGTTCTCTGGATTTCCCAGTGGAATCTGTGTCCTGTGGCAGCAATTGCTGCGAACATGCTGAATTTTTCGCCCAAGTGTCGCACAAAATCTTTTTTTCTAAACAGTTGCACTTTCTAACTGACATGGTCACAAAATAATCTGGGTTGAACATCGTTTGCGCTCCAATTGTCAGAAACGTTTTCCAACTTTATGTAAATAAGGATTGACTTTCCTTTTTCAGCGGGTCATTCATAAATCGGACTCCAATTCTGCAACCTCTCTTATTCTAAGAGTCGTTAATTTGCAAAGTTTCGAGGGGTATTTTACACTAAATGAGGCCTTATGCAGTGCTATAAACATCTCTTATCATGATGTCATCAATGGTATGTCTTTCGTGTACACAAACATATGTACCGATGTACGAATTTATTAGGCTAGATTCGCCACTGGGGTAGCCAAAACGTTTTTTTGTGTACATTTGTCAACTGCTTAGGGTCAAATGCTTTGTAATTATAATTAGCTGTGTTTATACTTCACGTCGTCTTCATGTCCTCCTCCCAATCCGGTTTTTTTGATTGGCTAATCAAAAATACAACCAAGACAATTTAAAATTTCGACCACAAGAATCGAATTGGGACGAGAAATGACGATGACTAAACACAGCTATTGACGGCACGCGATATTGAATACTTAATTTAAATTAAAAAAATGTGTTTTAAAATATGCACGAAGAATGGAAGTTTTCCAGAGTGCGATCTCAGATTTAGGATAACCTGGTGTCAATCGATCACAAACTTACGAAATTTGGAAATTCGCCTCTGACATAGATATTTGCATTCCAAAAAAACGCCGTCAAATTTGGAAACTCTAAGGTGCGTTTTCGCTTCTTTGGATACAAATATCCCCAAACCTGAGCCTTGGCAGATCGTGGGTTTTGCAAATCCCATATTTATAAAGTAAATAATTAAATTTACGATCGATTGAGATTAATTCGGTCAAACTCTGAGAGCACATGCTGGGTGACTTTCACTACAAATACCTAAAATCGTGCAACATGTGACGACAACTTGTCGTCGACAAGTTATGAAGTTTTACACAAAAATTTGACCGGAGCGTTCATCTTTCATACTGTCCATTACAGGAGATTTTGGACCTATGTAATACATAATTGTGTTTTTTTCTTAATTTCTTTTAGAAATAATTGGTAAAACATGGCCCAAAAATGTTTTTGCTACCTTGTTAGCAATACATTTTCTGCGAGGTCTTCACCAGTGGAAGGACTTATGGGAACTTGTCGCAACAAAGGCGATGAAATGGATGGAACAAAATTGCACAAGTGTCGAAATAATGAAGGACATGGAAATTGCTACCAAAAAACTTACAATGCGCAAGGAAACAGGCATCTGAATTAGTGATGCAATTCACGTAGTGTTTAGTAATAAGCATTACAAATAAAACTCGTGTACAAAATTGCATGCAACGTTTAGCAAAAAATTTAGGGGACAAAATTACTAAAAATTTGTTCCAGCAACATACACACTTTCATGGTAAGAATACTTATGCTGTTTAAACTTTATGACAATGGTTGTGAAATTTCGATTGTTATATAATGAAATAAATTTTTGGGGTATAAATTCATACTTTTTTGGAGTTATGCGCCACAAATTTATTTTGTTTGAGTCCTAATAATCATAACTAGACAACAAATTTATAGTCTCATATTTACATCTACACCCTCATTCGCTGCATAAATATCAGAGACGATAAAATTACCCACTCTTAAACAATTCTGCTCCTGCTGTGAAGAGGGTACGGATTTATTCCATAAGTAAGTTTAATCTTTTTCATGTCACATATTTAGTAAACCGATATCAACGAGCACAAGGTGCCAGCGACATTTTTGACGTTTCGGTCTCCTTTCAGGGTTGATGTACGTCGAAACTACTTATTGGTGGCGTTGATTCGTGGTTAAATTTTTCTTAAATCAATATTTGAAAATTGTGGCTGGCTGGCTTGGCATTTGGCAATGGTCGCCCTTGACCACACGTGCCCCATTTTAGAACTAAAAATTAGAAGAACAACAGTGACGTCTGATTCTGTTGAAGCGTTATCTAGATATCCTGCTTCCCGGTGGGCTGTTGACAGATAGACGGACGGACAAAACAATCACAATATGAGGCGTACGCCAATACCTAATGTGCACCAGAACTAATTTGCATACAAACAATGTGTGCAAATGCAAAAAAGTTGCACATTTATCTATACATATATGTACATACATACATGCATACATAGGTACATGACTACATTAACCGTGTGTTGTACGGAAGGTGCTACCCTCAGGGTAGCATTATATCCGGGCTCTTCACGAGAGTAGGAGAAATTCCGAGTTCCGTGTTTTTCCCCAATCTCAACCTTCTCTCTCGCTATACAAAATTCATTGTTCGCCTATCTCGAACTTCGTATCGACCTTGTGGGGGGAGGGGGGAAAGGCGAAATCGATAAAAAACCGCTTATTAGTTGATAAAGATAATTTTTCTGAATTTTTTTACGTTGGTCCCTAATTTTTGCGTCCACGGAGAGTACCTCTGCGTAGATTTTAAAATTGCATATGCTTCAATGTGAACTACGCGTACTCGCACGGGTACATATTTAGTTCTCGCTACCCTGCAGGCGAATGGGTACCCACAATTTGGCGTGGGTAAGGGGTACCCACGGTAACCCTAGTCAAGACTATGCACATTTATTTACCGTAAAAACTCAAATAGTAGCCGGGGGCTACTATTTAAAAAATCGGTGGCTGGGACCCGGTTACTATTTGAGCAAGGCTACTATTTGGGCACGGTCACTATTTATAAAATTATGAAAAGATGCACGGCTGCAATTAGCAAACAGCTATTGTAATTTTGTTTCCAGAATCAAAGTAAAATTAAATTCTAAAAACAGCACCAAATTCTCCCTTAGATTCGCATTAGATGACAATTCTGTAGGTTAGGCCTGCTCTTAATTTTAATAATTTTTCCGATAAGCCGAATTTCGTGTTCAATTCGATTTTGTATAACTGAGATTAAATTGAATTTTGATTTAATTACTTAAATGAGCTGGCTAGGAGATGTTTGGTTGTATGTATGTACATTGGAAATTGACGAACGTCTATAATTCGAATAAGGCTAATATTTAAGCAGGGCTATTATTTGAGCAGGGCTACTATTTGGGCACGCCTACTATTTGAGCAAGGTCACTATTTATAAAATTATGAAAAAAGGCAGGGCTACTATTTGGGCAGGGCTACTATTTGAGCAAGGGCTACTATTTGAGTTTTTACGGTATACATGACTAAATGAGGGAAAATACATTCAAGTTATAAAATCGTTATTTGCTAACTAAGCAAAACCAACTCGAGCTCGGGATACATACATAATTATGTACCTACGTAAAGATTATCAGTAAACTTGTTCATTCGTATGATAAGGAAGTTACCTTGCATACAGCGTGTCATTGGTTTTGGGAGAACTTGGTTTGGGGCGAAAATTAATGGGTGACCCATCACGCGAGATTTTATAATTACACACCAGAAGTATATTATGCCAAGACGACTACCCCGTTGAAGTATTTAATGCATCACCCCCTAAAATTGATTCAATTGCAAGAAGATAAGATATAATAATAATAATAATAATAATAATAATAATATATTTATTTCAGCACACAAATTCTGTCAAATAATTTACAAAAATGATCAAACCCTATCTAGTAGGAAATATCTTGATCATCTACGTCGCTTAAACAATATCAAGCTCATCTTGATTTAACATAAATATATTGTTTTACAAATAATAGTTCGAGTTGATTAAATTATTTCATCAATAAATACCTTAACTTATTTCATCAATAAATAGGTCCTTAACTTATTTTTGAACGTAACATAACTCAGTTCATCCTTAATGTCATTAGGTAGTGAATTCCATAATAATATTCCCCTAAAGTTAAAAGAGTTTCTCCCAAATTCTGTCCTTGGCTTCATGGTACTACGAAAATTATTGTTGCTCGAGCCCCGAGTCATATGATTGTGAAACTCAGATAGTTTACAAAAATAACCGTCAAAAAATGGAACATTATTGAGCTTAACAATTTTATACATAATACAGAGTGTACGAAAAATTGACATATCCTTTGGGAATAACCAATTTAAATCTAACTTTATATCGGACGACACTGGATCAAACTTTCTTTTGCGCAACACTAATCGAGCCAATGACCGAATAACTCTTTCTGCAACAATAAGGTTTCTCTGTGAGGCGACACCCCAGACACAAGACATGTAATTTAAAATTGAGATTACTACAGCCACTCCAATAGTTATAAGTGATTTTTGTGTAAAATATTGCCTTACAGTGTACAAGCTTCTTATTCTAAAATAAGCCCTTTTAGCCATGTCATCAATATGATACCTCCAGCTTAAACGAGAATCAATAGTTAAACCCACACATTTTAACCTGTCACACGGAACAATAGTAACACCACTAACAGTAACATTAAAATTGGACATTAAACTGAGATGTGAACGAGACCCGAGTAACAACATTTTTGTTTTACGGTCATGAAGTGACAGGCTATTATCCGAAGTGTACCGTACAATATTATTCATGTCTTCATTTACACAATTTTGTAACTCTGCTAGTCTTCTGATGTGTCCAAAATAAGCAAAAGTTGAGTCATCTGCAAAGTAGTTAGGTAATGCATATTTTAACGCTTTCGGCATGTCATTAATATACAAAGAAAACAATCTAGGACCGAGAATACTACCAGCTGGAACACCCGCCATAGTTTTTAATACTTTTGACTTTTTACCATCTACATCAACAAATTGTTTTCTGTCTGACAGATAATCACGTAGCCAGTGGTCAGATATACCATACAAATCATGTAACTTTTGTAACAATTTTCCTCTATGAACAGAATCAAAAGCCTTCTTAAAATCAACAGTGATCAAAACGCACACCATTCCCTTATCCAAATTCAGACGAATCAAGTCCGTGAGTCCTAGTCCTAAGTGCTCTGTACTGTGATATTTACGGAAACCGAACTGAGAACGGTACAATATTTTATTTTCGTCTAGATATTTTTCAAGTCTATTGCTGAAGACTTTCTCCATCAACAGCAAAAGATAGGGCGTTAGAGTTATTGGCCTAAATTCGTCTGGCTTCGTAGCATTACTAATTTTGGGAATGGGGACAACACGCGAACACTTTAATTGGTCAGGGACTCTACCAGAGGAAAATGACTTTTTGAAAACTGAAACAAGAGAATCCCTAAAATGAGGAATGGGAAGAGCAAGCCCTAACATGTACATTGACATGCCTACAGTATCTGGAAATTTGGAAGATTTGTGCTTGAGGCCTTTCCATGCAGAAACTATCTCAAACGTTGAAACGGATTTCACCAAAAATTTTGCTGACTTGGAAATATCAATTGGGCTAAAATTTCCAACAGTATCAAAAGGTGCCACCCCTTCTGGAAAGCCCATTGAGCAATAATATTGATTAATTTGATCTAGACTAATGTTGGCACCTATTTCTCCCTGGATTTTGCCAAAGCGCAAGCCAAATAACTTGAGAGTATCCCAAGGGCCTATCTTGTTTACTAAGCGTTGAGTGTTATCAAAAGTATCTACCTTCAAAGAGTTGCGAATTGACTTATTCAAAATCTTAAACTCACAAAAATCATAAGTACTACGTGATTTCTTCCACAAATTATAATGAAAGTCTCTTCTCTGTATAAGTTCTTGTGTGCGCTTTGATACACGAGTTGAAGTTCTATCCAGCTTGACTGTAGTTGTTTCAATTGGAGCATGTCTATCAAAAACAGAAAGAATATTATTGGTTAGTGCGTGACACAAAATATTACAATTACCATCAAATGGTAACTTCTTGATACTTTCAACCATATCATTTACAAATAGTTCAAAATTTATACTTTTATAGTTACGCTTCTTTATCTGTTTTGATCTATTTATCTCGTTACATACTTTGACTTTACAAAAGCAGAAACGATGGTCAGATATACCCTCCTCTGAAACATTGATCTCAATAATTTTTGAAACTTGATTATCTTTAACAATAACAAAATCTAATAGACTGTCATCTCTGGTAGGCATTTTAATTAGCTGAACATAATTATGTCGATCAATTAAGCTTATCATTTTCTTTGACTCGGAAGAATTAACCAGCATATTTACATTAAAGTCACCAAGTATAAAGCTTTGATTCGACATCGTGTTGAGAAAAGAGAGAATTGCTTGGATATTACGCAAATCATTTAGACACGGATCAGGTTTATAAATTACGCAAACAATAATTGACTGCCTATGATTAATTTGAACCTTAAGAATAAGATATTCCACACAACTTCGATCCAACCACTTTATATCATAATTCATTACCCTTACTTTGAAATATTTTCTTACAATTATCGCAACTCCTCCACCTCTTGTTAATCGATCCTTTCTGTACATTTTATAACCATCCGGCACGCAATACTCACTGTCCTCCTTGAACCAAGTCTCAGTCAAACAAAATACATCTAGGTTATAATCAGTAACGAGTTTTAAAACCATTGGAA